TGCCACCACGCCCGGCTCATTTTTTCTACATATTTTTAGTTGGCCAATTAATTTCTTTCTATTTTTAGTGGAGACGAGGTCTTGTTCTTGCTCAGGCTGGTTTCAAACTCCTGACCTTGAGTCATCCGCCCTCCTCAGCCTCCCAGAGTGCTAGGATTAGAGGTGTGAGCCTCCACGCCTGGCCATTTTTTTTATTTTTAGTTGTCTGGCTAATTTCTTTCTTTCTTTCTTTTTTAGTAGAGATGGGGTCTCGCTCTTGCTCAGGCTGGTGTCGAACTCCTGACCTCAAGTGATCCTCCTGCCTTGGCCTCCCAAAGTGCTAGGATTACAGGCATGAGCCCGGCCTTCAATTTTTCAACTGCTGGGGAAAAAGAAAATCAAAAGAAGGATAATATTTTATAACACATAAATTATATGAAATTCAAAATGCCAATAAAGTTGACAATGAATTGTCAATAAGGTTCTATTGGAAGGGAGACACTCCTGGTTGTTTACTAATTGTCTATGGCTGCTTTCAAACTGCAAGGATATAGTTGAGTAATAGTGACAGAGACTGTATGGCTCATGAAGCTGAACTTTTTTTTTTTTTTTTTTTACCATTTGGCCATTTATAGAAAGTTTGCCAACCCTTTATTTTGCCTGCTACATGCTGGATGCGAGAAGTGTCAGAAAGTTAATCTTAATTGGATTCTTTGATCAGAGATAATTTATTCCCCGAAATTTGTTCATTCATTCAACAAATATTTTTTGAGCCTGACTCTCAGTGCCAGGCCTGCTCTGGGCAGTGGAGACCCAGGAATGAGTTAGACTACAGGACTAGCTTTTAGGAGCCTGCATTGGTGGTGTAGATAGTCTGTGACAAACAGACTGTGACAGAGGGAGGAGGTATGAGGAACTGTGATAGCTAAAGGATGAAAGTAGGGTCTAAATAGACCTCTCCCCCAGAAGTTAACCCATCAGTCTAAATTCACTGCATGAATAACTCTCTTCTCTCCTGTGATCCATCTGTGTGTGATTCTGCCTCACCACATATGAAATTATATGTAACAAGGGGGTGTTCCTGGGATTTCTTTCAATGCCACTCTACACTGTAGCCCTAAATAAATGAAATGCATTAAAGAGATGAAAGTAAAAAAAAAATAGTGAAGGTAGAAGACAGGAAAAACTATTTATCAAACTTTAGGTGAGGGAGGAATTCCTAAATTTAGAAGCAACAAAGACTATAAGAAGGGAAAGTGAAAGGTATAAGAATGAGGAAAAATATTTATATAGAGGACTATATCAAAAACACCCAACATTCAACTGAAAACAGCATGTTTGCAGCAAAAGGGTGGTTAATGTTTTTAACGTGTATCATGAGTTCATGGAGATTCTTTTTCTTTACTGAATTACAAAAGCATTATGTGTCATTATGTGTTATTGTACATGCTCAGATAAAGTAAAAACAAAATGAGGTTTAAAAAACCAATTTTTCCCTTACCTCTTTCTTCTTTCTTTTTTTCCTTCTTCCTTCTTCTTTTGTTTTAGACAGGAACTTCTGGGCTCCAGTGACCCTCCTGCCTCAGCCTCAGTCTTTGGAGTACCTGGGACTGCAGGCAAGTGCCACCGCTCCAGATTTTTCCCCTGAAACTTTTCAGTTCCCACTACCATTACCCCCAGTATGAGCGATGTTATGATATCTTGATTCATATTCTTCTGGAGTTATTTCCATTATTATACAGATATACACATGTATACACACATAATCCTTCATACCAAACATATTACTCTGTAATATAGACTGAATGTTTGTAATCCCTCAAAATTCATATGTTGAACCCTAACACTAATTAGGGTGATTAGATGGTGAGGCCTTTGGAAGGTGATTAGGTCATGATGGTGGAGTCCTCATGAATGGGGTTAGTGTCCTTTTAAGAGTCCTGAGAGACCTTGCTCCTCTCTTCCACCATGTGAGGACACAGCTAGAAGATGCCATCTATGAACCAAAGAGTGGACGTCACTAGATAGGCAATTGCTGGTGCCTTGATCTCAGACTTCCTGCCCTCCAGAACTGTGGGAAATGATTTCTGTTGTTTATAAGTCACCCAGGGCCAGGCGCGGTGGCTCACACCTGTAATCCTAGCACTCTGGGAGCCCCAGGTGGGAGGATCACTCAAGGTCAGGAATTCGAGACCAGCCTGAGCAAGAGCGAGACCCCGTCTCTACTAAAAATAGAAAGAAATTAATTGGCCAACTAAAAATATATAGAAAAAAAATTAGACGGGCATGATGGCGCATGCCTGTAGTCCCAGCTACTCGGGAGGCTGAGGCAGCAGGATTGCTTGAGCCCAGGAGTTTGAGGTTGCTGTGAGCTAGGCTGATGCCACAGCACTCACTCTAGCCTGGGCAACAAAGTGAGACTCTGTCTCAAAAAAAATAAAATAAAAATAATAAAATAAAAAAGTACCATAAACTAGGCGACTTTTATTTATTTATTTATTTATTTATTTATTTTTTCAGACAGAGTCTTACTCTGTTACCTGGACTAGAGTGCCTTGGCATCAGCCTAGCTCACAGCAACCTCAAACTCCAGGGCTCAAGCAATCCATCTGCCTCAGCCTCCCGAATAGCTGGGACTACAGGCATGCACCACCATGCCCGGCTAATATTTTCTATATATATTAGTTGGCCAATTAATTTCTTTCTATTTATAGTAGAGATGGGGTCTGGCACTTGCTCAGGCTGGTTTGGAACTCTTGACCTTGGGTTTTCTGCCCGCCTCGGCCTCCCAGAGTGCTAGGAATACAGGTGTGAGCCACTGCACCCAACCTATGGTACTTTGTAATAGCAGCCTGAACTAAGACACTCCACAACTTCCTTTTTTCATTTAACACATATCTTTGTCATTCCTCTTATTCCATACATATAGATCTAACTGGTTCCTATAAATAGTAGTTTAATACATAGTTGGCATGCCTCACAGTTTATTCACCCATCCTTCAAATAGTGGACTTTCCCATTTTCCTCATGTAGAAACCAGGGATTAGGAAAGGAAAGCCCACAGATGTGACTCGGTGTGGTGGAGAGGAAGGAAAGGAAAGACCTAAAGTCAGGGATTTTCCTAGTCCTGGAATCTCTTGCTTTTGTACATTGCCTCCCTCCTCTCCTCTCTCTCTCTCTTACACACACACACACAAGCTTAGGTACGGTAAAATAATGTCAAGCCCCATATTAAATAGAATTTTTTAATATCATTATATAAATGTTGAGTTTTAGTCAAGCAGGACTTTGGAATCAGGCTGCCCTAGTTCAAAGTCCAGCACTGCTATTACCATCTATGAGACCTTGGGACAAATTCCTTAACTTCTGTATGCCTCAGTTTCCTCATCCATAAGATGAGGATGATAACGGTATTTTACCTAACTTGTAGAGTTGTTGTGAGGGTTCAATGAATTAATTTATTGAGTACACTTCACCTTTGCATTGATGTTTGTTAGGTTAGCTTAGCGTGGGAACAGGAAAAGTATGTATAGGACAGAATGTGGTTAATGGAAAACTTAGACAGTGATCATAAAGTCTGTGAAAGAAAAGCCGCAGGAGTCTGGAGAGTCGGAGGGAGGATGTACATGTAACTACGACCACAGACAGCTGCAGCGATGCCAGCATTCCTATCTCCACTAACAAGGACGAAGTTACCCTCCAACATCTCTGCAGGTGTTGCTCACTCCCCCCTGAAAAAACCCTCTATAAAACCCAAGGCTTTCCCTTCCCTCTGTTTGTGGAGACTTTTTTGGCTTTCACCCATCTGCACCCAGATGCTCAAAATAAACAGTATTTTGCTACACATGAGGCTTTGTGTGTCTCCCTCTTGGCTCTGGACCTAACAATGTTATACATGTATAGATATGCATAGATATTTATTAAAATCTGCAGTTTTGTTTTGGCATTGGGAGCCAATAATTTAGTCTTTTTGTTTCTGAGATTGAAAAAGCCTCATAGGACTTTGAAAATTCCAAGGCCCTGGGCACTTCAAAGGACCCCAGCCCAAGATCCTAAGCAGCCTGACACCAGCACAGGAACCCTTAGCTAAGAAGATATCTAACCTCAGTGGGCTGGGGGTGGCAGGAACCCTGTCCCCACTTTCATGGGCAGCGGTTTCCTAACTGGAGTGGGTCAGGGTGTTTGGAATAGATGCTCGTGATATTCATACCCATCACAGAGTTCAAGCTCAGCCCAGTCCTTCAAGTGGGCAATAAAGGATGAAGGAGCACCCCAGGCCCTCCCATCCCTGGACCCCAAGCCCCTCAGTTAGGGTGGTCCTGTGATTGCGGTGGGGGGCTGTGCTGAGTGGGGCTAAGAAGAGAGATTAGTCAGATCCAACCCTGCTCCACTCAGCGGAGGAGACAGACTCGAACTCATAGTCCCAGTCCCAGGAATGGGAATTGTGAGAGACACAGAAGAAAGGTTCTGTGGCTCTGGAGGTCCAGAGGACGGAGCCTGAAGAGAGGCAGGGAAGGGGAGACATTTTTGTGGACATCTGACAAGTGACTATGAACTGCACTCCAAGTAGAAGGTACGGCTTGGGCAAACAGGCTGGTTGTCATGAAAAAGCTAGATGCACTCAGGCAGCTGAAATTGCCTAGGACTGATGAAGGGTGAAAAAGAGGGGTGGCAGATGTGCTTAGAAGGCCCTGTTTTATTCAGACAGCAAAGCAAGCGGCCGCTTTCTCTGGGTGGGCCTCAGCATAAATCAAACACAAATCAAGGACTCACTCTCTCCTCCTTCCGCACAAAAGAGCCCAGAGGCCGTGTGCCAATCAGCGCAACGAACTGTAGGCAAGCCAAAAGCTGCCACCACGGGTCCCCACATGACGTCACATATTACAGCGACGCACGCGCAGACGCCCTCTCCAGAACTCGCCTAGGGGCAGGCTTTGCCTCCTTCCAATGCCGCTCTTCATTGGCTAGAAACAACTGCTCATCTTGGCCGTTGTTAGCGGCGACGTAGGCGGGAACAATCTTGGTCGCTAAGACATCCCGTACTTCCGCTTTCTACCCCATCCCCTTTCCCAGGCTCCGGCGAGCCAAATCACCTCTATTCGACCAATGGCAAATGGCAAATGGGCAGTGGGCGGGACTTCATTTGTCCGGACCAACGAAACGCGGGCTCAGCTTGGCGTAGCGCGGCCAATGACCGTGGGGCAGCCCCTGTAAAGGGGGCCGGGCGCCCCCACGCCCGCCTTTCCTCCTCCCAGCCCTGCCCCTTCCTATCCCCGTTTCAGCCACAGCGCTGGTCGCAGTCTGACAGGAACGGGACGGAGCCAAGATGGCGGCGGCCGACGGCGATGACTCGCTCTACCCTATCGCGGTGCTCATAGATGAACTCCGCAACGAGGATGTTCAGGTCTGGAGGCTACAGGAGAGTTGGGGAAGATGCGGAGGGCGACAAGGGGGCACGGGCGGCCCTCGCGGAGAAGGCTCAGCGTTCGCTGGGAGTGGCGGAAGGGCGCGGCGGCCAATCGGCATGCAGCTTTTTTCTCCCCACGTCCTCGGACTCGTTGAGACAGCGTCCCCGATTGGGTGTCTGTCCAGCGGAGTTCGGGGGCCAAGGCAAGCCTCGAGGGGCCCGGGCCTGCCAAGTGCGCGCGGTCGCCCAGGTCCTGGGAGGCCGCGGCCAGTGTGGGGGCCGGGGCTGGGGCGGGGAATGGAGAGGGCTCCGTGATTGGCGGTGGCTTCTGAATGGCCCTTTGGGATGGGGAGGGCGCGTGACTTGCTTCGAGTAGGGGTGGGGTCGTCTGACTGGTCGGGACCCGGAAGGTTTTCTGTTTTCTGGGCCAGTGGGGACTGAGAGGCGAAGGTGGCTTACCCAGATGCTGCCCTCCCTACACGTCTTATTTTGGTTTAGGTCCCTTAAGAGGAATGGGACGCAAAAACAACTCACCCAAAAGGGGGAACTAGCCAAATTTAGAAGTGAATTACGTTCGAGAATCCCTCTTCCGTCCATCCTCCCATTGACCGGGAGGTAGGGCTGGGCAGTTTACTAAGGGGACTAACATGTTTCTGGTTATGGGATAGGGCGGCCCAGGGTTCTGAGCCCGGCGGGGTTGGGATTGAGAACAGTTAGGACTGCAGGTCCACCTTTCACCCGCTGTGTGACCTTGTGCAAATTACTTCCCTGCTCTTGGCCTCTGCATTCCATATAGCATATAGGCCAATAATCGTCATAGTTTCGCTGGGTAGGTTAATAATAAAAGTGAAATAAAATGGCACCTGGTCTATTGTAGGGGTCCAATAAATTTTAGCTATAATTATTGGGAGTGGTGATTTAAGAAGTCTATCTTCCCTTTAGGCTTCAATTTCGCCATTTATGAAATTGAATGGGGTGCCCTGCCCAACCTGGGCTGGCCTCCTGGGTTCCTGGTAGATGACTCTGTTTCTGGTGACAGGCCGTGGCTGTACTCTTGACTCTCCACTTCTTGCTGATTGACATGGGCAAGTTAGTTAATCTCTCTAAGCCTTGTTTTCCTCTTGTCTCAAATAGGAATAATTATCTAGTTCATAGGGCTGTTGTATGAATTGTTTTGTTCAGTAAATACCTGCTATGTATCAGGTGTGATGCTGGGGATATAGTAGAGACACCAGTTGCTATACCGGAGCCAGGTGTGAAGTAGGTAAACAGAGCTAAATATATTATTGTGTAAGAAGTGGTGGGAAGGAAACAAACAGGGTGCTGTGATAGTCAGTATTTATTGGGCCTCTATTCTGTGCAGGGCGCTCTTGTAGGCACTGGTATCCAGCAGATAGGGAATTGCTGTTTTTATGGTAGCTACCACAGCTGAATTGAGTAGTTGTAACAGAGGGGGTCTGGCCCTCACGGCCCAGGGAAAAATTGCCAATTTCCAACTTAAATTATCTCTGTATCAAATTATTGGGTTCTTACTCTATACTAGGTTCTGTATAAAGGCATAACATTTATGATCTTAATGAATTCTCATAACCATCCTTTGAGGTAGGTCCTGTCCTTATCCACGTTTTCCAGATGAGGAAACTGAAACACAGTAAATAACTTGGCCAAAGCCCTGCAGCTGAGAAGTGGAGGAGCCAGGAAAGAATACCAAAGGAAGTAGGACTTTAGAGTGGAATAGAATTTGGGGTGGGACAAACAGTTGCCAATTATATCTGTGTGCCAGATATTTTAATTGTGTCTTTGATGAGATAGTTCAAGATACTAGAAAGAACATGTAATATGAAATCCTGTAGTCTTGATTCATCTGTTCAGCATGTATTTATTCAATACCTCCTATGTGGCAGATTCTTTTTTAGGTACTAGAGATACAGTAGGGAGCAAAACAGTGAAGCTGCTGCCCTTGTCGGGTATGTTCATTTTAGGGGAGACAGATAGTAGATCTATAATGTGATGTCACTGGAAGTAATTGCTAAAAGGGAAAATAAGGCAGAGACAGGGAATAGAGCGAGCCCACGGCTGCTGTTTTAGGTAGGAAGGTTAGGGAAGCCTTCTCTGAGGAAGTGCTGTTGAGCAAGGACTTGAATGAAATGAGAGAGAAGAACAGGTGAGAGAAGAGCAGTCTAGGTAGAGGGAACAGTCGGTACAAAGGCCATGGGTGGGAGCATGCTTGATGTGTTCAAAGAACAGCAAAAAGGCTGAAGCAGAGGGAATGGCAAAGTGGTGGGAGGTGAGGACTGGGCCGGGACTAGATCAAGTGAGGCCTGTGGACCAGGGCAAAGGCTTTGGCAAGTTGTGTGTGTGTAGGGGGTGGGGGTGGTTATTGCAAGGCTTTGAGTAGAGGAGTCACAGGTTCTGACTTAATTCTAAATGATCCCTCTGGCTGCTGAGTAGGGGTGGGCAGGGACAGATGCTGTTGAGATGCCATTGTGGAACACCCAGAACCAGTGTTGTTAGCATGTAGGTGGGGAAAGGTGGTTAGGGTCATGATGTATTGAGAAGGAGGGTTGATGAGGTTTGCTGGTGGGTGATGTAGGAAGGAACAGTTGAGGATGATTGAGGTTCGAGGCCCGCCTCTGCCAGTTTGCTTTCTGTGTGCTCTTGGAGCAATACCTTCCCCTCTTTGGGGCCACATTCCTCATCTGCAAAATGGGGATAATGATGAAGAATCAGTGTGTACCTAGTTGTGAAGATGCAGTGAAATTGGCATGTTAAGTGGCTGCCTCAGAGTAGGTGTTCAGTAAGTGATGACCTCATTCAGTGGTCATGAGGGCTAATGGTTTTTATACTTGGGAAAGTGTGGTAAAGGACAGTGGTGATGAACATGCGTTCAGTTCTCCACACTCTGCCACAAATTTACTAGGTTTCCATCCCTTACCTACCCCCCACCCCTCCAAGTCAGTAGGAGGCAAAGGGTAGCTTGTACTATCCCAGGGGTTTTGGGGGCTCTGTGTTTCTTAAATTGTCCACTGGTTGAGAGGCCAGGTTTCTGTGTTACTTATATTCTGATACTCAATTTTCTCATCTGTAAAATGGGATAATTGTGTAATTTAGCAGCTCCTAGGGTTTTTATGAAGATTAAATGGGTTTAGTACATGTAAAGTGCTTAGAACAGTACTGATTCTAAGTGTTCAATAAATGTCTACCTGTGGAAGTTGTGGTAGTGATGGTGGTGGTGAAGTAATGGAGCTTCGTCTGTCAAAGGTGCTTGGCATTTTTAAAGCTACTCTAATGGTTACTTGAGCAGTGGTTCTCACTTCAGGGTTATTTTGTCCCTGGGGGAACATTTGGTGAGGAGTGCTGCTGACATCTAGTAGGTGGGGGCTAGTGGTGCTGTGCAGTGGCCTACATTGCACAGGGTAGCACCCCACAGTGGAGCATTACCTAGCCCCAGATGTCACAGTGCTGAGACTGAGAAACCCTATGATGTGCCAAACAGCATGCTGAGTACTTTGTATGTGTTAACTGAATCCTCAGAAGGCTTCTGAGATAGCCGCTATTTTCTTTCCCTTTTAATTTTTTTTGTTACATTTCAAGCAATTTTTTCCGAATGTTGCCACATTTATTTACCTGTTACTCTGCAACTCTCACCCGCTTTTTTCCTGAAGTATTTTTAAAATCCCAACTAAAGGAGTCAAAGCACGTTACAGATCCCTTCTCCACCCCATTATCAGCCACCAGCTGTAGCAAACAGTAGAAGTTTGTAGCATATTCCTCCAGATATGTTTTTTCTCTGCATGTACTAACATCTATATTTTCATTTTATGCAGATTAATTCAGCAAATATTTGTTGGGCATTTACTCTGCCAGGTGTTGTCCTAGGTTCTTGGGGAATGGAGTGAAGGAGACAAAGTCCTTTGCCCATGTGAAGCATATTCTAGTGGGATAGGAGAAACAATAAATGAATAAATACAGGTTGGGTATCCCTTATCAGATGTGTTTGAATTTTGGATTTTTTTTTGGATTTTGGATTATTGCATACTGTATACATAAGGAGATATCTTGGGGAGGAGACCCAAGTGAAAACACAAAATTCATTATGCACCTTATACACATAGCCTGAAGGTAATTTTACACAATATTTTAAATAAATCTATGCATGAAACAAAGTTAATGTACATTGAACCACCAGAAAGCAAAGCTGGCACCAAAGACCCAAAGGATGCTTTTATATTTGTTACTCCTGCCACTACCATTGTTGTTATTTGATGATTCGCTCAAGGTCAAAGAGTCTCTTGGTAGGTGTTTGGCAAATTACTATTGAGCATCTTTACATGTAACCTAGCCAAGGCTTCCAAGATTGCTGGAACTGTCTGGGTTAAGAGCTGTCAGAACTCCTGTGTGTCTGGAGTTTCTAACATTCTCCCCTCTTTGTCTTATTCTCTCATTAGCTTCGCCTCAACAGCATCAAGAAGCTGTCCACCATTGCCTTGGCGCTTGGGGTCGAAAGGACCCGAAGTGAGCTTCTGCCCTTCCTTACAGGTAATGAGGTGGCCTCCAGGCTTCAGATCAAGTGGGGCTGCTACAGGGTGGTTCCTGCTCCATGAGGGAGGCCTTTTTGTGGCTTTAATAAATTGTTCCTAAGTGTCTGCCCTGTACTAGACACTATGGGGTAGGAAAAGGGATTCAGAAGAGGAGAATTGCAGTCCTCTCCGAGAGAATGGTCTGGAATGATGGAAGCAGGCATTGGTGAAAGGAATCTGGATGCAGATAGAACCAACTTTCAATTGCAGCTCCCTGAATTCCCTGAGTTAGAGTTGGCAACTTTGGACAAGTTACTTACTACATTTTTCTTCTATAAAATGGAGCTAATCATCCATGCTTTGTAGTATAGATATGAGCCTTAAATATTAATAATAATTGCTAGCACTTATTAATTATATGCTTACCATGTGCCAGGCAGTGTTCTAAACCATTTCTTTTGAGGATTGAGTTAGTTCACATAAAGTGTTTAGAATGGTGCCTGTAACTCAGTTAGTGTACGTCACCATCATCACTGAGTTAATCTGACAGCAACACCTTAAGGCAGGTAATGGTACTGTCCCCATTTAATAGATGAGGAAACTGAAGTGTAGAGAGATGAAGTAATTCATTTGCCCAAGGTCATAACAGGAGGTGACTGAGAAGAGATATTTAGTCATTCTGGCTTCACACTTGACAGCATTGGTTAATGACTCATAGCACAAACTGTGTGTGTATTGAGGGGTTGGGGTGGAGGAGAGAAGGGCAGAGGCAGGAAGTCTACTTGGGAGACAGTGGCTAAAAGCAGTGACCCTGTGGTTGTCTGCCTGAGTTCAGTCCCGCCTTGGTGTGCTTCTTTCCTCATCTATAAAATGTGGATAATTATATAATACATGTTAGGGTTATTGTGAAGATTCAATGAACTTAATGCATAAGTGTTAACTTTATTATAGAGTCACATATAGTGTTATAATAATAATCCAGGTGGGCCAGAGTAGTGTGGGAGCCAAGGACTGAAAAGGAGCCAGTGATTCAGAGGAAGATTTTTTTGCACTATTGGAGTCCCATGTAATATCAGATTTTCTTTGCTTTGAGCTTCAGTCCATTATAAAATGTTCAAAATAGCAAGTGGCTGATACCCTGCGTCTTTCAGAAAAGAAGGTACTGTTTCAGTCAGAATAAGTTAAAAGCCCTCTCTGTGCTCACACCTATAGAACATTCAGAATTGGTTCTGTGAGGGGAAAATGACCATATTGTATTAGTTTATCAGGTACAAAATATCACAGATTGGATGGCTTAAACAGTAGAAATTTATTTTCTCACAGTTCTGGAGGCTAGAAGTCGGAGAGCAAGGGTGTCAGCAGGATTGGTTTCTCCCAAGGTCTCTTCTTGGTTTACAGAAGAGCAGAAATGCAAATACTAAGGTGCTAGCAGGGTTGATTTCCTCTGTAGGCCATCATGGAAGAATTCTTCAGTCCTCTCTCCTTGGCTAGTGGAAGGCCCCTTCTCACTGCCTTGTTCTCACATGGTCGCATCTCTGAATGTGTATCCCTTGTGTTTCTCTGTGTATCTTACTATCCTTCTCTTATAAGGACACTAGTCAGATTGGATTAGGGCCCACCCTGATGGTCTTATTTTAACTTAATTACCTGTTGAAATGTCCTATCTCTAAATACAGTTACATTCTGAGGTACTAAGGATTCTGATTCAACATGTGAATCAGAGGGGGAAACACAATTCAGCACATAACAAATGGAATATCCCCACCTGGTTAAAAAGACCAGTGTTGGTAATTTTTAGTTATAATTTCTGGGATGTTGGTAGGTTCCACAGCAAGTCAAGTCACCTGTGTGTCTATAGTAAGACAGTAAAGTAGCTTCCCATTTAAAGACTTACGTAAACACTGATGAAGAGTAGCCTCAGAATTCCCAGGTTTGTCCTTGTGGTTTCATTTCAGAGTTCTATGAATGCAGGTTCCCTGAGTCAGAGGAGAATAGTTTGAGATCTGCCTCTAATCTTGCCGTGGTGTGTCTTCAAGTTTGGAAGACTAGAAGCAATGGGAGCATTTCCTATTTAAAGTATCTGGTTCATTTAAACTAATTCACAGTATAGTAAAAAACATTCCTTTTAGGAGGGTTATTAGTAAGGTATAAATATTAATGTCTATTTATTCCATAAGTCTCTATTAGTCCATTATGAGTTGTGTGTTAGTCAAGCCAAACAAAGTTTCTGTACTTGCAGAGCTTCCATTCCAGTGGGGGAGACCAACAGTGTAATAGGTAGTGAATGATGAGGCTAGAATGAGAATGAAGGGATCAGAGCAGGTCTTCCTGGGGGCATGACCTTTGGCAGAGGGCCTTGAATGAACTGGAGCTACCAACCAAGTGGGACGAGCATTCCAGGCCAGGGGAGAGGCAGGTGTGTGCTCGGCGTGTTGGGAGAGCAGTAGTGAGGCAGCTGTGGGTTGAGCACAGTTGTTAGTGAGGGAGAGTGAGGCTAGAACACAAGGTTGGAGAAGTACAGTGGGCACATCACTTGAGATCAAGTTTCTCAGAAACCATTGACAGATTGTGGTGGGGGAGTGTTAGGATTTCTTGAATACCTGGAATTGTCACTCTGTGTTTGGAGGAGAATGGATGGTGTGGGGCTAAGGGTGGAAGAAGGAAAACCAGTTAGGAAGCTGTTGCAGTTGCCAAGGCAAGAGCTGGTGATGTTAGGATGGAAGGGGTAGTAGGCCTGGCTTACGGGGGCTGAGGGGACAGTTCTGTGTGGTTGGAATAGTGGAAGTACAAGGTGCTGGCAGTTCACATGTGTCCGGTTTTCAGCAGCGTGGCTTGGCCATGAAGTCTAAACTGGAGATGGAGATAAATAAGAGTTGAGGCTGTGGATATGCATAAGGTCTTCAGGAGATAGAGAAAACTGGGAGGGTGGTCTTAACTGTGTGCAGAGGGAACTAGGGAAACTGAGGCTGGGAAGGAGCCCAAGAACATGGTGTGTCCAGGATCACACTGGTGAGAATTTATTGAAGGAAGAGACAGAGATGTGCCAGGCCCATGCTGAGCTCTTCACAGAAAGCATTTGTTTCCCTTCAGTCTCAGAACAACCCTGCCGTGATTTGGGGGATGAGAAAATAGACCTAGAGAGGTGGGGTGATGAGTTGCTGTACAACCAGCCAACAGTAGAGTGAGATTTGAACCTTCCATAAGATGAAGATGAGGGTAATCACTACTTAAGTGAGAGAGTTATTGTAAAGAAGTGACCAGAAATTGAACCCACAACTTCTACTCACAACCTATTGATCAGAACAAGTTCAGATGAACATGCCAGCTGCAAGAGAGCCTGGGAAATGTAGTCTGTTGCTGGATTGCTGTCTACCCGGCTTGCGCTCAAGAGGTTTAAATGCTGATAGATCAGGGATGTTAGCATCTTCTGCTGCAGAGATCAGTGGTTACCGTAGCCTCAGGGAAAAGATGGGGCTTGAGGAGAAAAGCCTTTTATTTTAGGGATTAGGAACAGAGCAGTTCTCCCTTCACATAATTCATTCTTTCAGCAAACCTGAATTGATCTGCTGTGTTCATCTCTGGTAGGAACTGGGGCATGGAGAGGAGTCAGACCTGGGCTCAGGGGATCATAGCTTTTATAAAGACTCTAGTAAAGATAGCAAGGGGGGGGAGGAGGTAAAAGGAGCCCACAAATGGTTTTTTGTGGGGCATCCTAGAAATTTTCCAAGAAGTGGTACCTGAACCAAATCTCCAAGGATAAAAGGAATTTTCAGGCAGAAGAGAAAGAAATTTCTGGCAAAGAGAACAGTGCTGAGGGTAGAACCTGCACCAAAACAAATAAGCTTTTATTTGCTGTACTCTGCTTTTTATATACTTGATCTTATTTGTTCCTCACTGTAGTCCTCACTGAGAGGGAGAGATGATTAGCACCATTTTACAGATGTGGGAACTTGGGCTCGGAGAGATAGAATCACTCACTCAGTTCCCCTCATCTAGTAAAGGGCAGAAGCAGGACTTAGGGACTCTGTCATCCAACCCAAGCCTGTGCCTTCATCTCTCTACCAGTCCAGGTGGAGAGCGGGAGGGAATGGGCAGGTGGGAGACTGACAGCCTGGGGAGCTGAGTGGAGCCCGTTCATTCTAAGCTTGGGTTACTGATGGGCTGGGGTCAGACTTGGGTGGCATTGTAATGGAGTCTGTCTTGGTTCACCAGACACCATCTACGATGAAGATGAGGTCCTCTTGGCCCTGGCAGAACAGCTGGGAACCTTCACTACTCTGGTTGGAGGCCCAGAGTACGTGCACTGCCTGCTGGTGAGTGGAAGGCAGGGAAGTCCCCTTGCTAGCCTCCTGGGGTCAGACATGTGGTCCTGACAGCAGCTCAGGGCAGGGAGGGGAGAAGGTAGGAGAGCCTGGTGATCACTTTGGAATAGATGGGCCTTAGATATTAACTTTAATTCAACCACTCAGTAGTGGCATTTAATATAGTGTAATAATACTGTAAATGTAGTTGTCATCCTTACCATTTACTGGGCACTTACTTGACCTGTGCCAGGTCCCATATAAGACTCTGGGGGCTTTTTAGCTGCTTTTTGAAAATCAGCTTTGGTTTTTTACCAGCATTCTCCTGTAGTGAGGTTGATGGAGCTGGGAAACAGTTGTCCTCCCCGGGCCACGTGGTTTCTAGTTTGCCATAATTCTGCCTTTCCTTGTCTATACCCATCCCCCTCCCCCTCCTCCTCTCCATCCCCTTTGCTGATGGCTTCATTCTATTGCTTGCCATCCCTGGAGGCATTTCCACTTACGATTTCTTTCTGCCCTAAATACCTGTCAGGCCAAGTTGGATTTCAGTCAGAGACCTCCACACCTTTATTTGAACCAAATATATTGGAATAAATTGAGTCTTCCTTCACTAGGTCAGTAATTACTGAGTTCCTCTCCTGTATTTGGAGTGCTACTGGGCTCTGGGGACACAAGGGAGAGCCAGTCAGATGTCCCTGAAGGGGCACAACCAGTCCAGGCCCCACAGTAAGACACCAGTGAGCAGTCATGAGCCCCAGGGCCCCTCAGAAATGCGAGATCCTGGTAACAGTCACAAGAACTGTGTCAGAAACCACAATCACACTTTTCATTTGGAGGCTCTGGAGGCAAGTGGCCTGGTTTTAGATCCTGACTTGTAGCTATTACTAGCTTGGGAAAGTTCCTTGGCTTGTCTGTGCCTTAGTTTTCTTTTTAAAATGGGACAGTTATAGGATCTAACTCACAGGATTCCATGAGGTAGAATAAACACCCCTGGAGTTGCGTGAGGCAGTGGCTCTGCTTAGAACGCACAGTAAATAGATGTTCCAGTCAATGTCAGTGATGATCGCTGTACTTTGAGAAGCTAAGGACAGGTGGAGCCCTCTCCTCAGAAAGTGACTTGTGTTCTAAGATTCATGGACCCCAGTGAAACTCCTTCAAGGACCCCCAAATAAGAGCCTTTGTGGAAGGCACACTGAAGGCCGGGATGAGGGGATCAGAAGATTTCTCTGAGGATATGAGCCCTCAAGGGGATGCAGAGTGGGGCCCAGGGCTGGGGATGGTGGAGAGGGAGCCACGAGGTGACCTTGTATTCTCACCACAGCCACCCCTGGAGTCGCTAGCCACGGTGGAGGAGACGGTGGTACGTGATAAGGCAGTGGAGTCCTTGAGGGCCATCTCGCATGAGCACTCGCCCTCTGACCTGGAGGCCCATTTTGTACCACTGGTGAAGCGTCTGGCGGGTGGCGACTGGTTCACCTCCCGCACCTCAGCCTGTGGCCTCTTCTCCGTCTGCTACCCCAGGGTATCCAGTGCTGTCAAGGCGGAACTTCGACAGTGAGTCTGTGCCCACCTTGGAAGCTGCAACCTTTCCCCTTGGCTCAGTACCCTTTTCTAAAATCTCAGCCCCCTTTAGGTCTACCTGGACTCAAATGCTCCTGAACTCTCCTACTCCTGTGTATCACTTGTTAGAGAGGCCATGTTCTTGAGAATGTGGTGTCTGGACACGGCTGGGTATAAACTCACCTGGCTCTGCCTCTTGTTCATATAGAAAATGAGATGATGATAGTTCCTTCCTCCTGTTGGTTATTGTGAGGATTTAAAGGAATTATCACATATAAAATGCTTAGGGCAAAGTCCAGCACATAGAAACACTCAACAAATGATGTTCTGATGTTGCCTGAGGTCTGCCCCAGGTTTAGAACCCTGGGCAGATGCACCATCTCAGTTTTTAGCCGCCTCCACCACTCCTCAGGCTACGGAGCATCAAGTCCAGGCCCTGCGGTATTACTCATTCCAGAACACTGGTTTACAGCTGTACACACGTGCTTATATGTCTATGCTAACCCCTCACATCTCTAACTGAAGCAGTCACTGCTAAAAACTAAAACCTTTCAGTAGTTCTAGACCAGCATCTTAGTTAAGCAGTTTTATATGATCATAATAATATAATCATCAGCACCTACCATTGACTATAGACTTATTACAGGCAAACAGGCTACTAAGTGGATCACATACATTATCTCATTTAAACCTCACAAGACCCTCTGGGGTAGATACTGTTGTTATTATCAGCTCCATTTCATAGGACTGGGAAGACTTCAGAGGGGTGATCACTTGCCCAGGGTTACGCATTCAAAGACAGGACCCAGGTGCCTGCAGAGTCTGTGCTTGCTCCTCCCCCCTGCTTTGTCTGCTACCTCAGGATCCCAAGGGGTTCCTTCTCCTGAGCTCCATCCCTGACTCCCAGGTATTTCCGGAACCTGTGCTCAGATGACACCCCCATGGTGCGGCGGGCCGCAGCCTCCAAGCTGGGGGAGTTCGCCAAGGTGCTGGAGCTGGACAATGTTAAGAGTGAGATCATCCCCATGTTCTCCAACCTAGCCTCTGACGAGCAGGTAGGTTGGGTTCTGCTGCCCAGCCCTCTCTGCTCTCTTCTCCTTCTGGTGGACCTTGCCCCTGAAAGAGAATCTCAGAGCTCAGTGGAGACTCTGCTGCCCTCCTTCCTCCAATCCTCTCCTCAGGACTCGGTGCGGCTGCTGGCAGTGGAGGCATGCGTGAACATTGCCCAGCTCCTGCCCCAGGAGGATCTGGAGGCTTTGGTGATGCCCACCCTACGCCAGGCTGCTGAAGACAAGTCCTGGCGCGTCCGTTACATGGTGGCTGACAAGTTCACAGAGGTAGGTGAGGGACTGTTCACACTGCCCCATAGGTGGGGACACCAAGGCCCTCAGAGGGGAAGGGGCCACATGTAGGAGCTAAGTTTTTCATTAGGCAGCAGAATCATCGGGTGTTTGGGGAGTAAGATCCTTGTGAGAATCCAGTTGGATATTACTTCACGTGCCGATCCTGGTTGAGTGATATGACAACTTGTAGTCCTGCGTTGAGAATTCTCAGGCCAAGTTCAGACTTCATGAAGGAACAGAAAGTGTAGCATGTGTGAGTGTTCCGATGTAATCTCCTTCCTTTGGCAAAAGGGAAGACACAGCCTAAAAGCTTTTAACTGACTGCTCAGAGTAACACCACCAGCCGGGCAGAATGGGGACAAGGCCCCTGGTCTGTGACTTTCCCGTGATAGTGCTCTTTCCATGGAAACTCAAATTTCCTCATCCCACGAATGTGTTTGTTGAGCACTAGCAATTTTCTGGGCACTGGGGGTACAGTGAATTTGGCACATTCCTGGGCTTCAAGGAAAAAGGTAGTCTGCAGGGAGGTCAGTTTAGAGGGGAATTTGGTAATAAGGTGTCACAGATGTGGGGGCAGACAGATGTATGTGGGGCCTGGAAGCATTGAGGAGACAGGGTGCTGCTGTGGCTGGTTCTAGAAGATGAGTGGGTAAGAGCTAAGATAGGAACTGTGTTCCAGCAAAAGGACAAAGAACCCTGGGAAGTGAGAGCAAGTGCTAGCAGGAACATTCAGGCATGGATCTTGGGTGCCCAGCAAAAGAGCAGGTAGGAGAGAGAGGCAGGATCAGATCAGAGAGGCCTTGGGCCACCCTGCCCTGTGACTTCCTTTTCCTGTAATTATACTTATTTTCACTGATGTGTGCTGGAAGGATTTAGAGCCTCCGAATACCTTTTCCATGGACCATCCGTTTTCCCTGCGGAGATGTTGGAGAAGCGTGGCTGTGTGGACATGACGTGTCTGGGAGGCTCCACACCACAATTAGGGAAAGTTCTTCGTGACAGCATGTGCCGGATCACACTGGGTCTTAGAATGAAAGCTCCATGAGGGGAGGGATTTTAGGTTGTTAAAACAATTCTCAGCACATGGTAGATACTCAGTAAATACAAGGGGACTTCAAAAAGTTCATGGAAACATGAAATTAAAAGATAAAAAAAAATACAGACTGTTTCTCAACATAAGTTCCATCAAGTTTTAGACACTTATAAGCAGTGATACCAGCCATTTAATCCATCTCTAAAACAGAGGATCCTGTGAATTTAACCATGTTAATGCAGTCTTTTTACATTATTACCTGAAGAAAAATGGGTGCCCTTTAAAGAATTTTTTTTTTTTTTTTTTTTTTTTCAACTCAAGATTCAAGCTGTATAAAGAATTTTTTAAGATTGGGAAACAAAAAGAAGTCAGAAGGCAGTAAATCAGGACTATTAGGTGGATGCCTAATGATTTCCCATCAAAACTCGCCCAAAATTGCCCTTGTTTGATGAGAGGAATAAGCAGGTACATTGTCGTGATATAGGATTCTCTGGTGAAGCTTTCCAGGCATTTTTCTGCTAAAACTTTGGCTAGCTTTCTCAAAGCACTCTCATAATAAGCAGATGTTATTTTTCTTTGGCTCTCTAGAAAATCAAGCAAAATGCCTTGAGCACCCCACAAAACTGTTGCAATGACCTTTGCTCTTGACCTATCTGCTTTTGCTTTGATGGCACCACTTCCACCTCTTGGTTGCCATTGCTTTGATTGTGCTTTGTCTTCAGGATCATACCGGTAGAGCCATATTTCATCACCTGTTAAAATTCTTCAAAAAAATGCTTCAGGGTCTTCATCCCACTTGTTTAAAATTTCCATTGAAAGCTCTGTTCTTGTCTGTATCTGATCTGGGTGCAACAGTTTTGGCACCCATTTAGTGGAAAGTTGGCTCAACTTTAGTTTTTAGTCAGAATTCCATAAACTGAACCAGTTGAGATGTCTGTGGTGTTAGCTATTGTTTCTGCTGCTGATCGTTGGTCGTCTTCATTTAGGGCACGAACAAGATTACTATTTTCCTTGGAAATTTATGTGGATGGTCTGCCACTGTAGGGCTTCATCTTCACCATCGTTTTATCTCTATTAAACGAGTTATCTATTTGTAAACTGCTGATTCCTTTGGGGGCATCATCCTCATAAGCTTTTTGTATTCAGTGATTTTACCTTTCATTCACTCAAGCTTCACCATAAATTTGATGTTCGTTCTTTCCTCAGTTTTAGCTGAATTTAGGTTGTTCTGATAGGGAATCTTTTCAAACTGATGTCTTATCCCTAGTGCCTCAAACTAGATCCTGTTCAGACATATTATAACAAGTTAGTACAAGTTTATTTTGGTGCAAAACAATTTTGAAATCCGTGCATAGTTTTCCCATAATGCACATTTGCCGCGAACCTTTGAAGATCTTGTTGGCAATGTGAATAAAAGGCAATGTTAGAGCAAGATAACATGCGGCCCTTCAGGGTTTTTACTTGTTTATTCTCTTCTTAGTAATGAACGATCTTGCTTTCTACTAGATTTTCAGGAATCAGCTTTGCAGCAGGACTCATGCACTTTTCCTTGTCTGGTGCCATGAATTAGGCAAGGCCTAATGTGCCTTCCTCTCCATCAATCTTTATGTTTGATTTTAATCACAAAAATAATACATGCTTCTGGCTGGGCACAATGGCTCACCTCTTTAATCTTAGCACTCTGGGAGGCTGAGGTGGGAGGATCACTTAAGCTTAGGAGTTCAAAACCAGCCTGAGTAAGAGCAAGACGCCTATCCCTAGAAAAAATAGAAAAATTAGCTGGGTGTGGTGGCTCTGTAGTCCCACCTACTTGGGAGGCTGAGGCAGGAGAATCACTTGAGCCCAGAAGTTTGAGGTTACAGTGAGCTATGATGATGCCACTGCACTCTAGCCTGGGTGACAGAGCAAGACTCTGTCTCAAAAAAAGTAAAAATAAAAATTAAAAATCCATGCTTCTGGTAATATCTTTAAAAAATACAGATGAACATAAAAAGTGGGAGCTACTGTTACCAGTAGAATGTTTTGGATCGGGTAACAGAAAATCCAACCCCAAATAACCTGAACAATATGGAGATCTTTTATTTTTAATGCAAACAACATTATACAGTGCCCTGTGGTTGCTTCTTTTGCTTCTGAGGAATCTGAGACTCTGATGTGAAGAGCTTTGCCCGAGGTCATGCTGTGGCACTGGAATTAGATCTTAGCAGTGATTCCAAGGCCCATACTATGATCCCTAATTCTGGTGCCTTTACTTTAATTTTGGCCCCATTAGCCCAGATACCTGCTGGACACTCTGACTCTGCCCATCCCCCTTCTTTCTGTTTGCAGCTCCAGAAAGCAGTGGGGCCTGAGATCACCAAGACAGACCTGGTCCCTGCCTTCCAGAACCTGATGAAGGACTGTGAGGCCGAGGTGAGGGCCGCAGCCTCCCACAAGGTCAAAGGTTGGTGCTGGCAACCAGAACACAGCAAGTTGGGGGAGTGTCCAAGAGGCTGGAGGTGGAACCAGGACATCAGCTCTTACCTCCCCCTACCTCCTTCTCCCCTCCCACAGAGTTCTGTGAAAATCTGTCAGCTGACTGTCGGGAGAATGTGATCATGACCCAGATCTTGCCCTGTATCAAGGTAACAGGGAGTTTGGTGGAAGGAACAGAGCACATCTGAGTCTGCCAAAAAGAGAGGATAGAGACTGGGCTTTGGAGATAGTCAGATGTAAACTTAAATTCCCAGCCACCTGAGACCAGGCAGCTCTTGGGTTTAAAGCAATTAGGAGTCCTGAGACTTATAGCTGACCTGGGAGGTGGGAGTGCTTCCTGGAAATCCACAGGTCACTGAGTCCCCTCATCTACAGAGCTTTGGGATTGGGGTGAGGGCTGCTGGGAGAAGGGGTCATTTAACTCTAAGTAGATGGGACATGCCAAGAATGACAATTTCCCCCCACCCTAAGCCATCCCATACTCCACGAGTGAGAGGGGCAGAAGCAGGCTGTTGTCTCATAGCTTTTTAGGAGTTGGCGTCTGCTTGGCCTCTTGCCACTACACAGGTTGCCCTGACCCCAGTGCTTGTCCCCTTCCTTCTCCTTTCCAGGAGCTGGTGTCAGATGCTAACCAACATGTCAAGTCAGCCCTGGCCTCAGTCATCATGGGCCTCTCTCCCATCTTGGGCAAAGATAACACCATTGAGCACCTCTTGCCCCTCTTCCTGGCTCAGCTGAAGGATGAGGTAAGGGTACCAGGAGGGACCTCAGCTCTGGGTTTACAGAGGTGACAAGTGGGTCAGCCATTTACCCAGATTGTGCAGGAATTTCCTAGAATCTCAACAGACACCAAGATCTTCACTGAGTTGAATGTTTGTGAGCACAACTGTCTGTGCGTCCACACGTTCATTCATCAGGCAATTGTTTTGCATGTCTTTACTCTGTTAGTCCTTTTCTGGGTATTAGGGATATGAAAAAAAAAGGATAAGACAATTTTGATTCGCAAAGACCTTCAGAAACTGTCAGTAGGGGGAGACAGTTGGGCAATCATTCATTGAGATGGCTAAAGTGCTATAGTAGAAACTCCAGATTACAGTATGACTTCAATAAGATAGGGGACTATTTCTCTCACAGTGGTCCAGGCAGTCCTGCACTGGTGGGTTTGTCCTGCCAACCTCAACTCTCTGGGTCTCAGGCAACTGTTCCAGATTTTACCATTCCCCAGCCAGCATGAAGGGGGAAGGTGCCAGGCAGAAGCAGGCCTAGTTCTCTTAAGGACAAAATCCATCATATCTCTTCACATCCCGCACACCTATTGGCCAGGGCTGGTCACATGACCATACTATTAATAGCTCTTCAGGTGGGCTGGACTACAGAGGATGAGAGTTTACTGGGTGATGACTGGAGAGGTCACTGGGGTGACTGTTGGGGAAGGAGTTGGGACTTGACTTTGGGGCAAGTGGAGGAGCCAGAACAGATCTGGATGTTAGAAAGGTACCCTGAGGCTCATGTGAAGCAAAGATTGAAGTAGGTTGGCCAGAAGAGGTGCAGGAAGACCAAAGTGGATGCTGCTGTAGGAGTTAGGGAGAGCAGGTGAGTTTGGACTAAGTGATATAGATGAGGCTGTAGAGATGTTGAAAGGTTCAGGATCATTCAGGTGGCAGAAGGAACTATGTAGGCATGGTGTGCAGGCTCCCTGGTTTTGCCTTAGTGATGACTAGGCAGATGGTGGGACCATTTTTTGGTGTGTGACCAGTTAGTGTGACTTCTTTGCTCCAAAGCCCTCAATATTCCTCCCTTTTCCTCATTTCCTTGTCTTTCTCTTTTTCTTGCACACACATAGTGTGATAAGAAGCTGGAGGAAACACTGCAACAGAAAGCATTGTAACACATTTGAATCTACCTTCCCCCAAACCGCCTGCCCAAAACTCTGCTACAGTGGTGTGATCTCTTAGAATCAACAATCAAGGGTTTTTATATATAAAAAAAAAATACATTGAAAACTGTACTTTTAAAAGAAAAGCTTAGTATGTTTTTTTTTTTTGAAACAGAATCTCACTCTGTCACCCTGGGTAGAGTACAGTGGCATCATTGTAGCTCACTGAAACCTAAAACTCCTGGGCTCAAGCAATCCTCCTCCCTCAGACTCCCGAGTACCTGGGATTACCGGTGTGTGCCACTGCACCTGGCTAATTTTTCTATTTTCAGTAGAGATGGGGTCTTGCTCTTGCTCAGACTGGTCTCGAACTCCTGATGTCAAGGGATCCTCCTACCTCGGCCTCCCAGAGTGCTAGGATTATAGTCATGAGCCACTGTGCCCAGTCAATAATCTTATTTTGGTTCATTTATTTACGTCAGTTGCCAATAGTTTGGACCATAATTAATTTTCATAATGACCAAAATTTTATGATATAAGTAATTTATTTGCACATGCACAAAATTTCTTTTATACTCATGCTTTTGTAGATAGAATTTGTTATAAATATTAATTTTTATTTACTTTTTATGCTTTAAGGGGCATAACTTGACTGGTGAGAGCCCCTCAAGTTGTTTTCTATGTCTTTTTAATGCCTCTCCTTGGAGAGCATTGTGCCTTCTTTTTTTTTTTTTGAGACAGAGTCTCGCTTTGTTGTCCAGGCTAGAGTGAGTGCCGTGGCGTCAGCCTAGCTCACAGCAACCTCAAACTCCTGGGCTCGAGTGATCCTACTGCCTCAGCCTCCCAGGTAGCTGGGACTACAGGCATGCGCCACCATGCCCGGCTAATTTTTTTTTATATATATATCAGTTGGCCAATTAATTTCTTTCTATTTTTAGTAGAGACGGGGTCTCGCTCTTGCTCAGGCTGGTTTTGAACTCCTGACCTTGAGCAATCCGCCCGCCTCGGCCTCCCAAGAGCTAGGATTACAGGCGTGAGCCACAGCGCCCGGCCGCATTGTGCCTTCTGGTATCAAGAAAGTGTCCAGTTCAGCTTGAGTGTGAGGGCAAGCCCACATGTGCTGAAAGTGTGCCAGAACTGGAGCATTTCCTGCTCCAGCTTCACCTTCAGCAAGTACTACATGATCATCATGTGCCTATGGCCACAATCTCCCAGGACAGCTTCTCTTGCAAAGAAGAGAAGAACCAGGGTGGTTTTCTTGGTGTGAGATACTCATGTGGCTTATATCTGGAACTTCAATTTCAGATTTATAATCTTTCTATTTCACATTTTGACTCTCATCAAGATTGACATACCTGTCTAAATAAAAGGGGCCTGCCTTTTTCTTGGCACACCAAAAGAGAATTCTTTAAATGGGTAAGGCATATTCTTCGAGCCTTTTCCTCTTGTGTTCAGCACACTGAGGTTTACACACCAAGGGCTCAGGGGTGATCTCCCTGGAGTTGGGCAAGGGCCAGTCCTGTCTTTGGAGTGTGCAGGATTGGAACATCCTAGGCCTGCTGAGTTAATACTTTATTGCATGCACTTGCTTATTTGATTCATTGATTCATTTCAGTGCTGCTTTCCACTCTCCCCCCCACAAAGGCTAGGATAGTTTTGACAAGAAAATAATTTTCTTCTTTCTCCTCTCACTATCCCTGAGGTAAGATTCATGGGAAAGCCCTCCTCTGAGGAAGGCTTCTCTTGAGACTCCATTGCTCTGTGAATTAATGTCACAGTGAATTGCATGGCAGCTTGGGGAAGTATGCCCATTAGCAGAGGAGGCTTAGTTTGACTCTTACGCTGCTTCACAGCCCGTATCCAAACAGGCAGTGTGCTTTGCTGGGCACACAGTTTTTCCTCTTTTCCTCATGGCCAGAGGTGAGACTCTCTCCCCCACAACGTGGACATGCACAACATTTTTCCACCTTTAGAGTTATGTCTTGCTAGCCTTCTTCAGGGAGAGGAAAGAGGCCCATTCCTGGTTGAGAACATTTGCACTTATAGTCCTAGGTATGTGCTAACTCCTTTCATTCTTCACCATATTTGAGAAGTCAGCCCCACTTCTGAACTTGAAGCATTTCAGGGGGTTCATCAGAGTGGCTTTATGTATGCTAAAGATGGGTTTTTATTATGCCTCAATTCAGTTAATTTTCAAAGTATTCAAGAAAGAAATCTCCCTCTTTGTTGGGTGTTGTAGATGCATTCGTGTGGTGCGGAGGGAAGAAAACATACCTCCTCCTGTACTTCCAGGCCCTTGAATGTGACCACGTCTCAGTCCACCCAGTTTGTCTGAGTCATCTTTTAACTCTAATGGAGTGCTTTTATTGCATTACCCAGTTGTAGATTCTGACACATATAGATGTAAATTAACTAATTTTTCCAAACTTGGGGTTAAGATGGCGGACATAGACAATTCTTGCTGCAGAAATCTTTCTTTAGAGAAAGAAAGAATGGGTAAAAAGCTTTTATTTATGACCATTTTTTCCTAAGGAGAGCTTATCTTCAGAGCACCTCTGTTGGGCCCAGGTCCCCAAAAGTCATTAGTTATAGAAGCCAAGGTGGAACAAAGCAAAAAGGATTCTGTTAGGTTTGGTTTTGGGAGCAAAACTGCTGGTGGGAATCATTTTGTTAAAGTTTTGCTTTAATAGGAAAAGAGCACTGGGATGGCTTTCCTAATACCATTATGATATTTGAGGTTTTTGTAAACATTGGGTATAATATCTCTTTTAATAAAAGATAAATAAACTTACAGTTGAATCATTTCAGTTCATGTAACATAAATGAACAGTGTTTCACAGACATTTGAAGCAGCTATATCTAGTGGACTATTTAAAGGAATGTAACAGAAAAGAAGAAATTGTTGAGCACCAAAGCAGTTCCTACCCTATTCCTGAGTATTCTTGGCTTTGGGAAGAAATGAATTAATACAGCACAAGGCGAGAAATTATGTTGGTTCTGAGATATTTTCTTTAGCTTGCAGACTAACTAGCAGAATACTGGCTGTCTTCCATTCCCAAAGGAGAATCTTGTTATTTTGGTAAAAAGGGACTTACGTGCTTTTCATAAAGGAATTATTGAGGAGGAAGCTCTTGGGGAATTTCATTCTGGAGGTGTCAGTTGAGGCTGTTTTGTCCTCTAAGTGATTGCCAGTACTGTTATCCATTGCTGTGTCTAGGTCCCCAAGACCACCCTTCAGGTTCATTGATTTGCTAGAATAACATCTAGAACTCAGAACTGTTATATTCACAGTTCCTGTTTATTACAGTGAAAGGATACAGTTTAAAATCAGCAAAGAAAAAAGGTGCATAGGAGAGAGAGCAGTTGCAAGTTTCCAGTTATCTTCTCCCAGTGAAGTTACATGGATAGCACTTAATTCTTCCAGCAAGATGTGTGATAACATACATAGAATATTGCCAAGCAGGGAAGCTCATCTGAGCCTTGGTTTCCAGGGTGTTCATTGGGGATTGGTCACACTTGGCTGACTTTACTCTGTCTTTAGCCCCTCCAGGGGTCAAGTTAATACATGTGGCCCAAGGTCCTCCTCCATAAATCACAGTGTTAGCATAGACTATCCATTGTGGCCCAAGGCCACAGGTAAACCAAGACACTTGTATTGGTCAGGATATTCTCGGGACTTGGAAGTGACCTCTCAGGAGATGGTCATGGGCCAGTCCTGTTTTTGGAGTGTGCAGAATTTGAACAGCCTAGACCTGCTGAGTTAGTAACCTTTACTGCACACTTGCCTACTTGGTTCATTGGTTTATTTCAGTGTTGGTCCTTCACCCTACAGCTCCTGAGGGAGCTGTAGAAAGGGATAACTTATGGCAACTGCCATTCAGGAATAAGTGATGTAGGACAAGGGTCTAAGAGGGCTCCTTTTTCTTATGAATTTCTTTGCATTCTTTATGGAATTAGGTGGGGTGTGTATATATCCATATTATAAATCAGAGCTCATAATCCTGGTGTAGTCAAAAGTAGTTCAAAAAATATTTCTTTTATTTCTTCATTCCTTCCTTTTTTCTTTCAGTCGACATAAACTGAGCACCTTTTGTGGGCCAGAGACTGTTGGGTATTGAACACATAAGGATGAATGATATGTGTTTCTTAGGAAGCTCAAAAGAGTAACAGAGAAAATGAAAATAATAGAAATGATAAGAACAAGTTCCTACACATTAACCCTTTGTGTGTCAGACATTGGCAGGCATTTCACTCTAATTCCCTCAGCCACCCTTTGAGGCTAGGAGGATATTTCCATGTTACAGATTGATATCCAGAAAGGAACCCTTGTCAGAAGCTCCCAGCTAGCAAGTGACAGAGCCAGGATTAGAATTGCGTGCATGACTGTTTTTTCAGGGTACTGTATATTCCTACTGTGATTCCTACAAGTCCTTTCAAAATAAATAAACATATCTTATGATGCTATTACAAGATTTTAAAAGCTAGCTTAACTTAGCGATCCATGCTGCTTGCTCTGTGTATGCCTTTAATGTGTCCCCAGGTCTGGGAGCTGGGCTTGGGCAGTAGTAGGCCCTCAGGGGATGTCCATTATAAGAAGTTGGTGCAGTTGAGCTCTTTTTACCCTGGGTTGCTGTGTGTAGTGCATTTTGTCAGAACCTTCCTGTCCTTTCCTCAGTGCCCTGAGGTGCGATTGAACATCATCTCCAACCTGGACTGTGTGAACGAGGTGATTGGCATCCGGCAGCTGTCCCAGTCCCTGCTCCCTGCCATCGTGGAGCTGGCTGAGGATGCTAAGTGGCGGGTGCGACTGGCCATCATAGAGTACATGCCCCTGCTGGCTGGACAGCTGGTGAGTGAAGAGGCTTGGGGGCCAGGCAGCTCTGCCCAGGGAAGGTAGACTGCCAGGGTCCAATCATGGTCCAGTGTGTCCAGGGCTGTGATGGGGGATCTGAGAGCCTTGAGGACTCGGTGGAAGCTGTGATGACTGCCTGGGGAGTTGGAGAAAGGGACCCAGGAAATAGGACCTTAAAAGATGAATAGAATTCAGTAAGAGAGATGAGAGAAGGGAACACTTCAGGTGAAGTTGAGAAGTGTCTGGTGTTTCTGGGCTGGCGTAGCTTTTCTGGAGTGTCGCTGGCAACTCTTCCTGCCCATTCTCCCTTGAACCTTTACCTCCTTTTATCCTGCAGGGTGTGGAGTTCTTTGATGAGAAACTCAACTCCTTGTGCATGGCCTGGCTGGTGGATCATGGTGAGTACCTCCAGCAGGATAGCAGGAAGGAGATTGAACTCCAGAAAGGATGGGTGGATTAACTGAGGCTGGTGGGGGCATGAAGGAGGCTGAAGTCACTTCCTCCTGCCATCAGATGCTCATATGGACCAGCTCCCTTCCTTGTTAGAATCCTAAGGAATTGAGGAGGAGGAAGATGTAGCACATCACCCAGAGGCTGCCTATATAGCAGAGAGTCGGAGGGCCACTGAGCAGCCAGACTTGGATCACACCCTCCCGGCTGTTGAAACTTAAGCCGCTTGCCATCTTTTAGCCCCACGCTCATTCTTTGGAACAAGGGACTTCTCTTCCAAGCCTTCGCAGGGCCATTGTGAGAACTTCTCATTGTTTTTACTAAGAGTGGTAAAAAATATAAGTTAATGTTTTTCTCTATCAGTATTGAAGTACTAAGTACAAAATAACTTGCTTAGGTGAATCACTTATTGGATCCTCAGTTTGCCCATCTGTAAAATGAGGCCAGTATTGGAATCTACCTTTTGTAGTTGCTGAGAAGATACCTTATGAAAAGAAAATCCTTATTAGGATAGGATAGGAGCACATAGTGAGCCCTATTTTCTCTTCAGCTGGAGTTCATTGTCTCATATGTGGTCTGGCACCTAGGGACTGCTCAGTAAGCAGTGGTGAGAGTGGCTGTTTCTCCCCGCCCACAATCAGTCCTTCACCTCCAGAATCACCACCCCTCTCACCCTAACCCTTCTGCAGTCTATGCCATCCGTGAGGCGGCCACCAGCAACCTGAAGAAACTGGTGGAGAAGTTTGGGAAGGAGTGGGCCCATGCCACCATCATCCCCAAAGTCTTGGCCATGTCTGGAGACCCCAACTACTTGCACCGCATGACTACACTCTTCTGCATCAATGTGAGCACCCCCACCTGCCTTCTGGCTCATCCTCGGGGGGCTGGAGTGCCTGGGAGAGGAAGTATGGTGGAGGGTCCCCAAAGGAGACACTTGGCTTGGGAAGGGAGAAATAGCAGGGATCTTTGGTCATAGGATGAGTCCCTTGGGGGAACTATAGGCCAGGGATTGGGCTCCCAGGGTCAGGTCACAGGGCCTAGGGTTAGGGACTTGCATGGTATGAGACTCTGGGTTAGGGATACTTGACCTGTTAGAGCAGTGATCTCCGGTGTTTTATGAGCACCTTTCTTCCCCACAAAATGTGTGTGTATATATCTATACACACGATACAGTGGTTAAGTGTGCAGGCTCTAGATCACACCTAGTTTTAAATTTTGGTTCTGTCATACATTAGCTTTGGACCTTGGGAAAATTACCCAACCACTTAATGCTTCAGTTTTCTCATTTATAAAGATTTATACTGGTAATCACAGTAAGTCACTTATCAGGTTGTGAAGGTTATTTGGGTTATGCATGCAAAGGGCTTAGAACACGGGGCTCCAACATTTTTGCTACCAGGTACCAGTTTCATGGGACATAATTTTTCTACAGATGGGAAGGGTGTGGTAGGGGGGAGAGACTGAGCTCAGGTGGTGATGTGAGTGATGAGGAGGGAGTGGCTGTAATATGGATGAAGTTTCATTTGCCTACGGCTCACCTCCTGCTATAGGGCCTCCTCCCCCACCCTGTTCCTAAGTTTCATGGAAAACCGGCATTAGTCTGCGTTGGGGACAACAGGCTTAAAATAGGAACATACAGGGAATATTCCTATCTATTTGCTTTTATTATAATCATCTTATGTATTACTGTATGCTTATAAACCATACACATAGCTAGAAATTAAAGGATGGGATTTAAAAACAAATATGAATATAACTGAGTATTGTGATAATTTCTTCCTATGCCATACTTTGGAGACCACCACACTGAGGAGGGGTTAGAAATCCAGGCCCATCCTCAGAGCAATGAAGGAAAGTTGAGGACAGAGGAATTGGGGCATCTCAGAATGGAAACATGCTGCTAGGGGGGCGTTATGGGAGTTGGGAGATTCAGGAGGATAAACTGCCCAAAGAGTGAGTGAGGGCTTGATGATCACCAAGGTGGCTGGATCAAAGGAAGAGGAAAATAGGAGTTAGCTAGGAACTTTGCAGAATCACCCTTCTGCCACTCACCGGCCCCTAGGTGCTGTCTGAAGTCTGTGGGCAGGACATCACCACCAAGCACATGCTGCCCACAGTCCTACGTATGGCTGGAGACCCAGTTGCCAATGTCCGCTTCAACGTGGCCAAGTCCCTGCAGAAGATTGGGCCCATCCTGGACAACAGGTGAGACCTTGGATACTCCCCACATACCATCAGGGGCTTGTTTGGGGTATCTTAATCTTTGACCTTTAAAGATAGAGCCCAGGGTTTGGAGGCCTAGCACTGTTCTCTTCTTGTGTCACCTGCGCCTGTCCCTTCCCCTTCCCAAGGTTTGTTTTTTCCAACTGTAGAATGAGAATTCACAGAATGGAATGTAAGGGGATGGCAGTTCTATATACTAGCAATAAATCATTAGAAAATGAAATGTTCTTTTTTATGAGACAGAGTCTCACTCTGTCACCCAGGCTAGAGTACCATGGCATCAGCCTGGCTCACAGCAACCTCAAACTCCTGGGCTCAAGTGATCCTCTGCCTCAACCTTCCAAGTAGCTGAGACTACAGGCACACACCACCATGCCCAGCTAATTATTATTATTTTTAGTAGAGACAGGGTCTCACTCTTGCTCAAGCTGGTCTCGAACTCCTGAGCTCAAGGGATCCTCCCTCCTCTGCCTCCCAGAGTGCTGGGATTATAGGCGTGAACCACTGCACCTGGCCCTAGAAAAAGAAATTAACTAACAAACTTCTTATATATATATGTGTGTGTCTGGGATTTATATATAATTGCACGAAAACCATAAAATAGCCAGAAATAAATTTAATGTGTGATGTGTAGCACCTCTATTGAAACTATAAAACATTGTTCTGAGAAATTAGAGAAGATTTCCATAATATTCATGGATGGGATAGTTCCCCGAATTCAATTTTAGATTCATTGTGAACCCATTAAATCTCAGCAGGTTCTTTAGTGGAAAATTGACAACTTGATTCTGGAAATAATAGGGAAGTGCAAAGATCTGAATTAGTCAAGGCAATCCTAATGAACAAAGTTGGATGACTTATACTATCAGATAATGAGACTTAAGATTCCACAGCAATTAAAATAGTAAAGTTTAGCATGAGAATAAATTTAAATAGCTCAATGTAACAGAATCATGGGTGTAGAAACAGACCCACACGTATATAACAGGAGGTACCACTGTGATTCAGTGTGAAAACGTACATATTTTCCACAAACGGCTAGGTTAATTGGATATCTATGTAGGAATAAAAGAACTACCTCAGTGCATAAACATTAATTTGAGGTGGCAGACCAGAACCATAAAGATTAAAAAAAAAAAGCCGGTAGAAGAAAGCGTAGGAGAATATGTTCATGACTTAGCATAGGCACAGATTTGTTAAACAGCAACTAAAGGAAATGATTGGTAAGTTGGCCTTCAGTAAACTGAATAAGTGTTCACCAAAAGACAACATTTTAAGAATAAAATGCAAACCCCTAACTGGGAAAAGGTATTTGAAATAACCTTATGTCCTTCATACATTCCTTCTCATACTTCTGAGAAAGGACTTATCCAGAATGCTTGTCAACAAATCAGTAAGACAAGGAAACCCCTAAAAAGAGATGGGCAAAAAGACTTAGGCACTTCAAAAAGAGGATCTCCAAATAGCCAGTAAACATATCACAAGGTACCCAACATCATTAGCCTTCAGGAAAAGGCAAATTAAAATTCTGTGAAATACCATTACATATACCTCAGAACAGCTAACCTTAACAAAGACCCAAATTGTGCAAGTGTTGATGAAGACAAAGAACAGCTAGAATGCCCATCTGTTGCAGGAGGGGCTATAAGTTTGGGGTCCAGTCTCTCTGAAAACTGGTAGAATTTAGTGAAGCTAGTTATACGTCCACTCCTGGGTCTATACCCAAGAGTAATGGGTGCTTAATTGTCAAAAGAATGTCCATGGTAGCTTTACTCATAGTAGCAATAAAGATGGAAACAGCCCAAATGCCTGTCAGCAGAGTGGATAAATTGTAGTGTGTTGATACAATGGAAAACTGTATTCAGCAATGAAAAAACAGATGGCCCCCTGCAGGCAACAACACAGGTGGCTCACAGACCTCATGTTGAGAAGCCAAACCTCCCAAAACACATCATTTATATCTGGTTCAAAAATAGGCAAAATGAATCTGGATGATAGAAGTGAGAACAGTGGTTATTTGGGGATAAAAGGGAGCTGTCAACTAAAAAGGGTCACTGGAAGCCTAAGCTGCTGATTTCTCTCTGTATCAACAATTACAAAGTAACTGTTGCAAGACATAACTTCACACCTTTATAGTTTCTCTCTGAAGTCTACCTTTAGTTCCCAAAACAACTGAATTTCAGTGCAGGTAGATTTCCCTGGACACCCTTAGATGAGAGCAGATGCCTCCTATAGGGCCCAGAACTTGCCCTTTGAGCCACTTACTACTCTCCTATTATCAGCTTGGTCTGTCTTCCTCCTTGGCCCAAGGGCCACATGGGCAAGAATCAACAGTGATTTACCACTGTATGCACATTAATACCCAGTAGTCCCTAGTAAATTTGTGTTTAATCAATGAAAGACATCCATTTGCTTAGCCTCAGAGACTTGTAGGTTCTGTGATTCTATGTTCCACTTTCCCAGATGCTCTCACCTACCTCTTCTGTACCCCAGAGATTTCTGTCCTAGTTTGTCAGACCTTTGACCTTCAAAGTAATTGTATCCAGGATCTCAGAGACTTTTTTTTTTTGCAGTTAAGGTTTTATTTTTAATTGACACATAATAATTGTACATATTTATGAGACACAGTAGTGTTTTGATACATGTATAAAGTACATATTGATCAAATTAGGGTAATTAATTACTGTTATCCATGTCCTCAAACATTTACCATTTCTTTGTGGTGATAACATTTAAAATCCTCTCTTCTAGCTATTTTGAAATATATATTATTGTTAAACTATAGCCACCCTACTGTGTAGTGGTCAGAGACTTCCAATTCGTGCGTGCGAATGTGTCTCCCAGACTCTTGAGACTCCTTCTACTGTGTGTGTGTGTGTGTGTGTGTGTGTGTGTACACATCCTTGCTCAGAATCCTTCTGCCTGCTTGTTGCCCCCAGCCCAGCCTGGCTCACTCCTTTCCTGTCCCCTTCTTGTTCCAGCACCCTGCAGAGTGAAGTCAAGCCTATCCTAGAGAAGCTGACCCAGGACCAGGATGTGGATGTCAAGTACTTTGCCCAGGAGGCACTGACTGGTAAGGCCTGTAGAGCTCAGAGCCCAGGCAAAAGGGTGGTCTGCAAGGATAGCACGCGGGCCGTGGGCAGCAGGTCCTGGGGAGGGGTGGTGCCGCAGCACTGTAGGCAGAGGAGAGCTGTGGTTCTGATTCCTGCCTATTCCTGTTTTCCCAGTTCTGTCTCTCGCCTGATGCTGCAAGAGGAGCCAACTCTGGTGTCCACCCTTCAGCTGTCCCCAAGTCCTCCCTCGGGGAGGCAATGGGGACCTTGGCTATCTCTCCCTGTGCATGGTCTGACCCCAGGCCCCTTCCCCTGCACGGTTCGTCCTCTCCCCAGCCTGGGAAGACTGCTCTCTGACCACCTCCCTGGGGCTGGGGGAGCATGAGGGTGGGACAGGATGGTGACCCTGGAGCCACTCCGCCCATGTTGGGGAGAGACGTGAGCATCCCAGGTCATTGGTTCCTGCTGCTGTAATGAGGATGCCCTCCCCCATCTACTTCTCCGCCTCCCTTTCTCCCCTCTCAGTGGTTTTTTGTGTCAACTGTGTCGTTTTTTTTTTTTTCCTTTTTTTTTTTTTTTTGCCCTTTTCACAGAGAAATAAAGGTCTAGAAATAGTCTGTCCTCTGGTCTTAGTCATCAGCATGGGGTCATCACCACCTCAGGGCCATGGTCCCTGCCCTTTTCTCTGGGGGAGACCTAGGTATGGGACTGTTACACCCCTCTATCCCAACAGTGAGAAGTATTCTCTGGAGAGCCCCCCAGGAGTGCAGCTGCCACACACGGAAGGAGGGTCCACAAGGTGTGTCTGGACTGTGGTGCATGCATTTCAGTTTCACAGACACTAAGTATTTCGTGGTTAAGAGCAGGTGCCTTGGAGCCAGACTGCCTGGGTCCAAATCCTGGCTCCTTCAGATAATAGTTGTGTGACCTGGCGTAGGTTGCACAGTCTTTCTGAACTCAGTTTTGTACTTCATAAAATGTGGTGAAGACTAAATGAGTTAATACCTGGAAAGTATGTATTATTAATAGTGCATGGCACATGAAAAATAGTTGGGTAAGCTATTAATGTAAATTGCCAGAGAACCCCTGAGGGCCCATCCATGTGTTCTGGGAGAAGACTTGGGTGTGGGCCCCATTCCCAAGGAGGTCTCAGAGTAATCCAGACTATAAAGGGTACTGTAGCATGATAAGTACTATTTGTTTCCCAGTATCTATTTTCCCTTTCTTAATATACTACTAGAAGCTCTGATTTTTAAGCTGGGCATGACTACCTGGATTCAAGGCATTTTCCTAGTGTCTAATTTGGAATGGTGTTGACTAAATTCTGGCCAATAAGATGCAAATAGAAGTGGTATGTGCAGCTTCTAGGAAGTGCTCTTCAGGGGAGAGGCATGATTCCCCTCCTTTCCTATGCTCTGGAGCATGGACCAGCACTGGAGTGAGAGCAGTGATTTCAGGCCAGGAAATGATCTTAGGAGTCTAGCCAAGCAAGGCAGAAGATGATAGAGGGACACTGGATCCCAATGCTGTGAAGAACCCTGCTAGAATCGTTACCTGGGAGAGTTAAACTGTTTAAATGGCTGTTCCTTTGGGGTTTCATCACTTGAAGGCCACCCACAATCTAACATAGGGAGGGGCCCAAAGAGCCCTGGAAAAAGGACAGGGACTTGGGGATTTTGGTGTATATATGGAAGGGTTACACAGAGGAAATGATGCTTGAGTACAGTTTGGTTTAGCCAGTGGGAGGAAAATGTGGCCTTGGGTGACAAGGCGATTTTCGCCAGCTTCCCTCTCATGTTACTGAGTGTCATGTTTGTTAGCTCCTATTGGGCCTTGGAGGATGAGGATAAAGAACACCAAAACATCTTCAGACATTCCCATATATACCTGGGAGGGTAAACTGTCTGCCAGTTGAGAACCACTGCTCTGGAAATGACAACACATGTATAGCCAAACATGTCAAAGTCTAACAGTCAGAACCTTCATCCCGGCTGGGCTTGGTGGCTCACATCTGTAATCCTAGCACACTGGGAGGCCGAGGCGGGCAGATTGCTTGAAGTCAGGAGTTCGAAACCAGCCTGAGCAAGAGCGAGACCCTGTCTCTACTATAAATAGAAAGAAATTAATTGGCCAACTCTATATAGAAAAAAATTAGCCGGGCATGGTGGTGCAAGGCTGTAGTCCCAGCTACTTGGGAGGCTGATGCAGGAGGATTGCTTGAGCCCAGGAGTTTGAGGTTGCTGACGCCATGGCACTCACTCTAGCCTGGTCAACAAAGTGAGACTCTGTCCCCTCTCCCCCCAAAAATAAAGAACCTTAATCCCATTTGTGGTTAGCACAAGGACCTTACCTTAGAATCTTGATACTCAGGATGCAGTCAATGAACCAGCGCCTTTGGGATCCCCTGGGAGCTTACTAGAAATGCAGAATCTCTGGCACCAGACCGTGGAACCAGAGCCTTCATTTTAACACGATCCCCAGGTGACTGATCTGCACACTGAAGTTTGAGAAGTCCTGCCTCAAAACACTTGAACTCAGTTTTTCTCTCTCTGGCATGAAGTCAGTGGTGCCTGGGACTAGGGCTGAGGATGTGGGTAGGGGTCTAGAATTGGGTGTGAGTATGTAGACAGTGAGGCTCAGGGACGTGCTGAGGCTGCAGGATTGGGTGAGTGATGGACAGGGATTGCAGTGGAGGCAGAGGTGTGATTGAGACCCAGAGTGGGCTGGGTGGTGAGGTGAGGTTCAGAGATGAGGCAAGGGTTAGCGTTACAAAGGTGGGTGACGGATAGGTTTAAGCATTGAAACACCTGGCACAGAATCGCCAGGTAACCTAGAGTTGCCAAGAAGCTAGAGGCTGAGTGGAGATTCTTGTTCAAGTGTCTTACTGAAGAATGAGCTCAGGAAAAGGGGCTATGGTAACTCAGTTTCTATGAACTTCAAGTTGGGAATCAAATCAAGGAATGAATGTGTAATGTGATTAAGTACATTGTTAGTAGCAGTTATTGATCCCCCAGCCTGCAGCTTTGTTTGCTCTATAAGCCTGGCCCTCTCTGTAGGAGATGAAGTTTGCTCCTCGAAGCTCTTGCTCCTGGATCTGGGTCCAGTGAGGAGACTGGGTGGAGCCAGGATGAGCTACGCTGCCCTACTTTCTCCTCCCCTCTGCACCTAAATACCGGCAGGTGCATTGGTTGTCCGGGGTGGTTCCTTTCACTTCACCATTCACAGGAACGCATGCGTAAATTTTGTTTCCTTTTGTGATGGTTCCACCTTGGCTGATTTTTTTGCCAAGGGCTTTTCCACTTAGCCCTTCAACTGCTTTGATGCAGATGGCCTGGATGTGGATGAGCTGAGCCATTTGGTACATTTGGCTAATGAGTAGGGGCTCAAGTAGAGCCCCAGAATTACAGTGCCCTCAACTCAAGGTGCACAACTGCCTGTGGGGCATGAGCAGCAGGTGTCAGTGCAGAATTACCACGACTCCCCTGAGCAGATGAGGATCAGGAGGCAGTGCCTCCTCCCTGAGGGACAAACTGTTCACACCAAGGACAAGATCTGGTGAAGCATCCTCAGGCATGGATGGAAGACACCAGGTTCATTCTATCCCAAGGCTGACCACAGGGCTGAAAACATCCCTCATGTGTTATCTTTGTGGTCAAGGTCAAGCCCCATGCACACTTCTGTGGGGATGCATATCTATTTTTGTTTTCTTTTACTTATAAAGAGGGGTAACTCAAAGAGATGCATATCTAAATGTGGCCTAGAATTCTCTGCTTAGCCACAATGACTTGGGGCCTATTCTATCCCTACGTTATTCATTTCCCACACATTATACCACAACCTCTTCCTCACTCTCTGCCTCCTAGTCCTGAGGCAGGCTACATGTGGTTGCACCAGGAACATTCCCACCATACATGCAGTATTCCTTTGCACCTCACTGAAGTCTTTAAGCCAGGTACCAGGTAATCTCCTTAGGGAGGGCCTCCTCCTTCCTGTGGTGCCCACTACAAGGGAAACGTGAGAAGTTCATCTTATTTCCAACAGAGCAACATCATATAACAGATCTGTAAAGCAGCATGTGCTATATATTTCTGGGCCTTGGTCTCTTCCAAGGGTCCATGTCAAAATATCTCCAAATTGGCCAGGCACTGTGGCTCATGCATGGAATCCCAACACTCTGGGAGGCTGAGGAAGCAGAATGGCTTAAGACCATGAGCTCAAGACCAACTTGGGCAACACTAAACAAACTTTTAAAGATTATCAGGGCTTGGCCAGGCATGGTGGCTCACGCCTGTAGTCCTAGCACTCTGGGAAGTCGAGGTGGTCAGATGGCTCGAGGTCAGGAGTTCCAAACCAGCCTGAGCAAGAGCGAGACCCTGTCTCTACTATAAATAGATATATAGAAAATTAGCTAGGCATGGTGGTGCATGCCTGTAGTCCCAGTTACTCGGGAAGCTGAGGCAGAAGGATCACTTGAGCCCAGGAGTTTGAGGTTGCTGTGAGCTAGGCTGACACCATGGCACTCTAGCCTGGGCAACAAAGCGAAACTGAAAAAAAAAAAAAATTATCAGGGCTTCGTGACATGCACCTGTAGTCCCAGCTACTATGGAGGCTGAGGCAAGGGGATCCTTTGAGCCTAGGAGTTTGAGGCTGCATGAGCTATGGTCTTGCCATTATCTTCCAGCCTGGGTGATGAGAGTTACACCCTGTCTCCGGGGGTGGGGTGGGGGTGGGGGACAAAAAAACCATAAAAGAAATCTCTAGGTACACACCTTCACCCAGTGCTCTTCAAGTTCTACTTCCATAGGACACTGATGACAGTTTCTAAATTACACGAAAAGGACAACTGTTTCCAAAAGGTGCCTGTCCCTGAACCCTGATTCACAGCTGAGCTGACATGAAAACAGAGAATGTGGAAAACTTGCCCAAGCTGGGGGTCAATTTTCATGTTTTTAGCCTAGGAGCCAGTTCCATCTAATGGCTACACAGAGATGGGAGTGCTGAATGAAAATATGAAGAAATTTCCTGCCCAATCCTGCATAAAGCACTGTCCTCTTTCCCCCCTGACTTGAGACAGGGTCTTTCTCTGTTGCCCAGGATGATAGACTACAGGGGTGCACTCATACCTCAAAAACTGGGCTCAGGGAGTCCTCCTGACTTGGCCTCCCGAATACCTGAGGCTGCAGGCGCCTGCTAATTCTTCCACTTACTGTACAGATGGTGTCTTGCTCATGCTGAGGCTCCTCCAGGATTACTTAAAACCTCCCAAAGTGCTTTATATTCTTAGCCACACTGTCCAAAGTTCAGAGAGGGGAAAGTAGTAAAGATATCTGCATGAAAGATTGCACCAGCATGTATTGGAGGCAGAAGAGGACACATAAGAAATCTATAACAACTGCCGCGTGCAGAAGGAGTGCAAAATTCCCCTATTCTCAGGACTGCTTTTAGCAGAGCTCTGGCTCAGTTCCCACTGAAGGCCCACATTCACAGTGGGAGGTGAACACTCGCACTCCTCCCTACATTTAATTGCACTTTTTACCCTGTGGATGGAAATGACCGGAGGCACTGATGGAGATAAAATCTGGCCGTTGGGGTACAATGAAATCCCTGAGTCCTTAAGTGAAGGTGCCCACTGCCTCTTTTTGACCTGGTACTGCTAGGTATCGACCTGGTCTCAAAGCCCAGGGGCTCCTAGTTGTTCCCACTGCTTTTTGGGAGAAATGGAAACACGGACCAAGGCCAGCCTAACCAAAAGCCCAGGTGATTGCAGGTGGGCCACAGGCAGAAGCAGGATCTCAGAAGGCAGATAGAGTGAAGCAAGATCAGGCTCTTCTGAGACTCACAATGACGACCAGGGCGGCCTGGGGGAAATGCTTCCCAGGCACACTGAAGACCCCAACAGCGGGAAGGCAAAGCAAAGCACACCTGCGACCTCAGACGGCCACTGATAGATGCCTGGGAAAGTTCGGTGGACAAGGGGGTCTTGTCAGAAGACAAAAGAGATTTCTAAGAAATGCTGTGCCACCATCGGCCCAGACAATGAGCTGGACCAGGACCACAGCCCCTCCCTGCACCGACCCAATTCCTAGTCCCTTCTTAGTGAAAGCAGTGGCAGCCGACGATTCCACAATTTCAAGCAGCTCCTCCTAAGCACCCTGCACGAGGAACAGGGGATACCCACAGCAAGTGTACATCCCCCAAGAAGGAGAAGAAAAGTGCAGGAGGCAGAAAACACCTCGTTTACTGGAAGGCAAAGGCCAGACATGGAGAGCTGCACCAGGTCCTGTGTGAATATTGCAGCCTTCTCATTGGGCATTGGGACCAATTCTCCCCTTGTTGGCAGAAGGGATGGAAACTCAGCTCTGCAGATTAATCATGGCTTTGCAGCATGAACTAAAAATTGTGCAGCAGGAACCCCCTGTGCGAGGATCCCTAAGAATGTTACTCAGGATGAACTGGGGAAGGTCTTTCGCTGGAAAGATAGGCTCATAGAAAGAAACATATAGGCTCATAGAAAGAAACATAGGTTCATAGAAAGGTGGAGGACGCCAAAAGATGGAGCACGTGGCCAGGCTGGAGCCCACGCAAGAGCAATGCCTCGCAACTGCCACCTGAGGGCGGCAAAGTGCACGCTTTGTGAGGGAGCCAGAGAGTCCCCAGTTGGGGGAAAGATACTGTGCCCACCTTGTGTGCTGCTCAGTCACTGGGCCACGCTGAGGTCCTACGTGACCACCAGGGGACAATGGAAACGCACTTAGAATCACCTTCCCTGACACCTGCCTGCACCTGCCGCACGTGGGGAATGAGCTCCTCCTGAGGTTTCCCTTGCTGCTGTCGTGTCATCCTCTTCTCTGGAGAAAAGTGGCCCCTGGGGATGGGGAGGACATTCTTACCCTGCCGGCCGAGGGAGCCCCCGACTCAGCCAGCCGTGGACGAAGCCAAAGGGACCCAGAGGACAGATTCAGCCTCACTCGCAGCCAGGCGGGAGCGCAGGGAGGGCTCACCGGAAGGAAATCCGACCGGAAGCAGCCCCGCTGCAGGGCAGAGACACGCCCTCCCACCGGAAGACACCCGGCAACGAGCCCCAGGCACAGACACCCTCGCACACAGAGAAACGCCGGACACGCACGCCGAGCTCGCACAGAGACACTCGCGCAAGCGCACGGTTGCGCACGGGCGGCTCCTCGGGCCACGGGGTTCTGCTCTTCCCACGAAGACCCCGGGATCAGAGCCGCCCGCGGGACACGGGTAGTCCAGCTGTCCCGGTCCCTGGGAACGCAACGTCGAGGGAGACTCGCATCCAGCCCAGCAGGCCGGCCTGAGGCGGGATCCCCACCGGGAAGGGCATCGCCGCTGCTCCCCACACCGTCTCTTCCACCTGGTCATCCGTCCTCCTCTCTGAGTTCCTGTAACCATCCCTCCACCGGAAAGACTGGGAGAGAACAGGTCACACCACAGCCCCCACGCAGGGGCAGACGGCTCCTGCTCCCTGACGCCTCAGTGTTATCCATCTCTCGGCAACCGTCAGGTCCGCTGCGACCTCGAGTCCCCACGCCCAGAAGCGCGCATGCGCAGTGTAAAGTCGTTATGAACCCCTGCAGTCAGCAGGCGGCAGCAGGGGGATCTCCGGGGGTCGCAAGGGGGAAGAGACCAGACAGAGGGGTGCAGGGGTCCAGAAGCGAGAAGGAGGTGGCGCACAGGGACTCAGGGCCATAACCTAGCCATCCTGTTCTCAGGATTACTTTGAGCAGAGCTCTGGGTGGGTTTTCCCCGGAGGCTCAGTTTCCCAGGAAGAGAGGTGAACACTCGACGGCTCCTTGCACTCCTTGCGCTTCGCACGTGTGGACGGCAATGATGGGACGTGGTGGTGCAGATGGAATCTGGTGAGTGGGTTTGGGACGTTGGGGCACAGGACGATCCCTGAGTCCCCAAGTGAAAGTGTCCACTGCCTCTTTTGGACCTGGGTTCGCTAGGTATCGCGCTGGTCTCAAAGCCCAGGGCCTTTCAGTTTCCACTGCTTATGCAGAAAGGCGGAAATACGCGAAGCAGGCCAGCTCAAAAAACGAAGCGGAGGCGAGCACAGATGGGCCACATGGGAAGTGGATCTCAGCAGGGCAAATGCAGTCGAGCAGGATTAGGCTCTTTCAAGACTGACAATGAGGACATGGGCAGCTTCCCGGGGCACTGAAGACTCCAAGAGACAGAAGGAAAGCAAAGCACATCTTAGACCTCGAGCGCCCTCTGGTGGATTCGCGGGAAATTGGGAGGGGTCTTGCAAGAAGACAAAAGAGGTTTCTAAAGTGCAGCCCGCAGGTGGAGCACCACCCGGCACCCTTCCTGCACCAACACAATACCTGGTCCCTTCCTCTCTGGGAAAGCTGTGGCAAGCAGTTTCCAGGCTTTCAAGCAGCAACCCCCTAGGCACCCTCCACAAGGCACACGGGATACTCACAGCAAGTGCATATCCCCCACGAAGGAGAAGGAAAGTGCAGGTGCAAACAACACCTTGTTTACTGGAAGGCAAAGGCCATACAGTGCTGCACCTGGTCCTGTGTGAATCACGCAGCCTTCTGATTGGGCATTGGGACAGAGGTCGCCCTGTTGGCAGAAGGGATGGAAGCCCAGCTCTGTAGATTAATCAAGGCTTTCCAGCACTAAAGACGATTCGTTCAGGAGGAAACCTCTGTGCGAAGGATCCCCAAGAATGTTACCCGGGATGAACTCTGGAAAGTCTGTCCTTGAAAAGATGGACCGAGAGATAAAACCGTCTAGGCCCATAGAAAGGTGGAGAACCCCAAAAGATGGAGCACGTGGCCAGGCTGGAGCGCACACAACAGCAATGCCTCGCAACTGCCATCTGAGGGCGGCAAAGAGTGCGCACTTGGTCGAGGGAGCCAGAGAGTCCCCCGTTGGGGGAAAGACACTGTGCCCACCTTGTGTGCTGCTCAGTCACTGGGCCACGCTGAGGTCCTACGTGACCACCAGGGGACAATGGAAATGCACTCAGGATCACCTTCCCTGACACCTGCCTGCACCTGCTGGCAGTTGGGGAATGAGCTCCTCCTGAGGTTTCTCTTGCTGCTGTCGTGTTGTCCCCTCCACTGGGAAAGTGGCCCCTCAGGAGGAGGAGGCTATTCCTACCCCTGCCGGGCTGAGGCAGCCGCCAGCTCAGCCAGCCATGAACGAAGCCACAGGGAAGCCCTAAGAAGAGAAATTCATCCCCACACACAGCGCAGACGCGAGCGCAGGGAGGGCTCACCGGAAGGAAATCCGACCGGAAGCAGCCCCGCTGCAGGGCAGAGACACGCCCTCCCACCAGAAGACACACGGCAACGAGCCCCAGGCACAGACACCCTCGCACACAGAGAAACGCTCAACAGATATACCGAGCTCGCACAGAGACACGGAAGCACACAGGTGGACCCATGCGCACTTCCTACGGCTGCAGGGTTCTGCTCCTTCCCACGAAGACCCCGGGATCACAGCCACCCGCGGGTACACGAGTAGTCCAGCTGTCCGGGTCCCTGTGACCACAACGTTCTGGGAGACTCACACGCACGCCCAGCAGGCCGGCCTGAGGCAGGATCCTGATCCAGCCCGGCCTGCCCGCTACTCCCCACACCTTTTCTTCAGCGTGGCCATCCTTGTCTTTTGGCTGTTCCTGCTGCCATGCCAATGAAACTCTGGAGATTTGGCTATCCCAATGTCTGGAAGCATTTTTCCTATTTATTTATTTGTTTTTGGTTGAACTTTATTATGGTAGTTCTTACTTGTAATTTTGTGACTTATCATGCCTTTATATATTTGGTAACAGATATGGATCCTGTTTCATTCTTATGTGTGTAGATCTAATTTTCCTGGTACTGTGTATTTTTTTTAAACAGCAAAGTATTTTATTTTTATGTAAGTGTCATTCAGTATTGTTACATTGTGAAATCATATTATGATTTAATCTACTTTTCAATAGATAGATTTTATCAGGAAATGACTTGGAGCCTTTCACGTTTATCAGATGTCTTTTCATTATTCTTTTCTATCTTTGCAATTCTTGATCCAAATTGCGTGGCCCTTTTTGGCAGAAGAGTAGAGGCAGTAAGACCAAGTTCGACAGCTGCAAGGCATAAAATTAGTTTTTTGCCAATTCCACAGGGTAAAGGCAAGTTTGCCTTTTCCCAAACTGGTAGGGAATTTAGAAAGGAGACAACATTTTCATCCAGGAAAGGAAATCTTCCTTCTTTTCCATGATCACCAATAACTTTTACATCATGACAAAGATTTCTAGAAGAAATTCACCCCAGTTCCTTCCTGATTTCCTTACTCAATCCTTCCAGCCCATGTGTCTGAAAGCAGACATGATGATGAGAATAACCTGCCAGTTGCTCATCTGCACCAAGTCCAGTGAGAACTAACTTTGAACTGCTCTGATATGATTTCACTTCACCCTGGGTCACTAACCAACCAATTCCTCTAGAAGCAAACCAGACTGCACAGCCAATGCTATCATCCAAAACTGTATCCAAGGGCTGAATCAAGTGACATATTTTTGTTCTTAATCTGCGGTGCTTCCAAAGAAACGTTGATTTCAACAAAATTCCAAATTCAGGAAGGGTTAATAACTTGTAGTTATTTTAGTCCTGCTCTTCCTGTAATTTGATCTGGTACATTGAATTGTTTATCAGGACGGTCACCATCACTGTCAGCAACATTTTTAGAGAATTCTTCAGAAGGCATTTCACAATGATTTTTCTGTTTACTCATTTTTTTGTTAAAGCTGGTTGGTATGGTCTTTTCTCCAGTCATGAAAGCTACAGTAAGAAAATTAGTTCATCTAGGGAATATGATGGTCACCAAAGGTTGCAATAACCATGGAATCAATGTCCCCAGAAAACAGGATTGCAACATTTGCTTTCCTTTCACAAGTTTGCAAAACTTCATTTGGTGCCAGGTTTTCATCCCTAGGTAAACACAAGACACGTCTCTTGACTGCAACACTCAGGACATCAGTAAGGTGCTGAACTACTTCCTCTATGTGTCCACCAGCAAGAAAGACCTGAAGTGTCTCTCTTGTAGTTGGGATGCTGGAAATATTACTGCAATGAGTCTCTGATGGAGCTTGTGGCAACAACATATTTAAAGGGATAGTAGGTTTTTCAAGATATAGTTTGGCTTCATTTGCTACCACTGATACAAATGCTGGTAAGTCTGCTGACATCTGAGTCAGGCTATTAACACATTCTTCAACAATATTCTCCCTAGAAATATATTTCCAAGGATACAATTTTAATATCACATATCTGGAAATGGTAGGAGACTTAAGATCAATTCTGAAAACTCCAGATACTGGAACTTCTTGCCACTGATTTGCCATTCCTGATGTTTGGGTACTAACTGAAGAGAGGCAGAAACTCTTGCCCAATTTACTAAAATGCCATTCAAGCTGTGGCGACCAAAATAATCCCTACCAAACCATAAATAAGGAGTAAATGCTTGATAATATATAAAAGACCAAGGACCTTGGACTTTTGAGAAGAGTGACAAAATGTCAGATTCATTCTTAAAAGAGGAAAGATAATTAAACATAATTTGAGTATCATTCTCTTCAGCTTCAAACTTTATTCCACTAAAGACTTCTCCATTCCAAAGGAACACATTGCCTCTTTCATCTTCCAGGGGCTGGGCAGTCATAACACCTCTCAAGTGAAGGACGTGGCCAGAAAATAAACACTGGTAGTGAACATCAGACTTTAACAGTTGTTTACTACTACTGGTCCCCATCACTTAGATTATACAGTAAATCCTCTTTTAAATCTTTACTGAAATTATCAATGGAAAGCTTAGAGAACAAAAAATACCACACATTGTTACATGATATCAGGTTGATTACTTCTTGATTTTGGTCTTCTCTGAGATTTTTATTTCTTGGTATTCTTTTTTCAGTTCATCTATTGTGTTTTTGCTTTGGGAAAGCATTTCTGTTCAGTCTGTAAGAAAGAATATGTTGCTGTTCTGTTGCTGCTTATATACTTTCCTATTCTTCTTCAGGTTAGACAGCTCATCCACAACAATTTTGTGTTCTTTATCTTGTTGCTTACATCCTCTTTGTATGGGTCAACTCGTCTGTGGAAACTAGCATGGCGCTGTCCTCTGGGTGAGTTCCCCAGTTGGGCATCTCCACCAAGCACAGGATGCGCAGCCTGTGCAGCTCTCTGAAGCCCCACAGCCTCCTCTGGCACTGCGTATTGAACAGGGAATTCTTTCCCACAGTCTGTATTTTCTACTGCATTCTGGACGATCTGCTGCTTGTAGGTATATATTTCTGCTTTTATACTTTCTCTATTCTGTTCTACTCATTGTGTGTTTAATTTTATATATTACTCTCCTGTTTTGTTTACTACAGTTTATAGGATAATTTGAAGTCAGGTAAAGTGATGCCTCCACACTTGTTTGTTGTATTTAGGGTTGCTTTGAGTATTTGGGGTTGATTTTGCCTCCATAAGAAAAATAGGATTTTTTCCCCCAGTTTTTGGAGAATGACTAGGGTGTTTTAATAGGAATGCTATTGTGCTGTGGCCTGTTTACAGGACAGAGGATGAACACAGAACATAAAAGAAAGACAAAAAGAAAGACACAGACACACACAAAAACAGTTACATGACTCAAGTGCTGAATGCACTGGGTCAGTTTATTTTTATACTCTGAAAAGTTAATGTTAGTTCCCTGTATGTGACCACCCAAGCATTACAGCAGTGGCCATAAATTCCAGAACACGTAGCCTTAAGGACACATGTCCCCTGACTCAAGGTTTCCAGGTGGTTGCTCTAGGTGCCAGGAGATCACTGACCAAGATTTGCAAGGTTGGGCAAGGCAGCCATGGTTCCCTCCCTTGAGGGATCTTACCCATCATTGACTAACCAGCCATCTTATGCGGCAAAGCAGCAACACAGGAACAATGTGCTTATCGTGTGGCCTCCAGTCCCCCACTGCTGCGGGGCTGGGCAGCCCTTGCTTACTTGCAGAAACTCAGGTTCTTTGTTATGCCTCTAGGGAGTAACCTTGTTTGTCACAGGGACCTTGTCCGGAACACATTACTCTCAAACGCTCTGGGCAGAGCTCGTACATTACTCACTAAATTTAATTCTTAAACCAGGAAAGGATCATGTCAGTCCCCAACACTATTGAATCTGTGGACTGCTGTGGGCAGTATGGTCATGTTTGCAATATTGATTATTCCAATTTATGATCATGGGATATTGTTCCATTCATTGGCATCTTCTACAATTTCTTTCATCAGTGTTTTGCAGTTCGTCTTGGAGGTATGATTGACCTTCTTGGTTAAGCATATTCTTTGGTATTTTATTTGCTTTCATAGCCATTGTAAATGGCACCAAGTTCTTGATTTGATTCTCAGCTTGGCAGTTATTTGTGTATGTAATGGTCTTGATGTTTTAACATTCATTTTACAACATGAGAGTCATATGACCTGCAAACAGGCATAGTTTGATCTCTTTCTTTTCTGATTTGTATGCCCTTTATTCCTTTCCCTTTCCTGATTTCTCTGATCACAACTTCCAGTACTATGATCAATAGAAGCAGGAGAAGTGGGCATTGTTGCCTTGTTCTTGTTCTTGGTGGAATGAATTCAAGTTTACCCAATTAAATATGTTTTTTCTCTGGATTTGTCATCTGTGGCAATAAAGGGAGAGGAAAAGAAAAAACAAAACAGGACAAGACACTGGCCCTTTAATACCAGAGGAGAAAAGATAGGGATTTGAAATGAGGTTCACAGGGGTATAACAATGGTTGCCTGCCTCCGTTTGAACACCCCCAAGATCAGAAGGAGTAATCAGCAATGAGAACACAGTTCCACAATATTTGAAACACAGAGTTCATCTTGTCCACCATGTCTCACACAAGATGCATGCAAGCTGTTCAGGAAGCACACACATCTTCCTGCCATGGAGTTGGGGGGTGAGGAAGGAGTAGATGCTATTGTGCTAAAAACTGAAATTATTTTACATTTGCAGAAAGTTAACATCCAAGTGTTTCCTTCAAAGTTGCAAGCCCTCAAAATACTCCAGAGATCCAAAACATTTACATCAGACTGATTCTGCCAGTGCAATTGTTGTTGTCTAAGTGGAGACAGATTTGGGGTGCTTCTTACTATACAATCTTTCTTCAGTTTCATCACACTGAACATTTTTGACACAAAACTACCCTTGATTGTGTGATACAGTGGTATTGAAAGAACTAAGAGGCAAGAAGAAATAAAATCACCTGGAAAATGGACAGAAAAGTCAGCATTAAGGGGAAATGAGCTTTACCTGGGCACTGCAGTGACAGGTACCGAGAAAAAAACAAAAACAAAACAACAACAAAAACAAGATTTTCAGAATACATTGAAATTTATTGCTTGATTTTTTACTACACTTGCTCTTGGCCAAAAGGCTGAGAAGCAATTGCTTGGTTTTTTAGAAATAAGATTTAAATAGCTACTAACAGATACAACAAATTGATTCTGAGTATCTTGGTGATGTAAATTTTAAATGTATCAAATGGTGTTTTAGCCCAAAGCAAAGAACATCCATGAAAACTTCTAGTGTTTTTTAATGTATATTTATTTATTTTCACACAAGGAGCTTTTTTTTTTTTTTTTTTTTTTTTTTGAGACAGAGTCTCGCTTGTTGTCCAGGCTAGAGTGAGTGCCATGGCATCAGCCTAGCTCACAGCAACCTCAAACTCCTGGGCTCAAGTAATCATTCTGCCTCAGCCTCCCGAGTAGCTGGGACTACAGGCATGTGCCACCATGCCCGGCTAATTTTTTTATATATATATTAGTTGGTCAATTAATTTCTTTCTATTTATAGTAGAGACGGGGTCTCTCTCTTGCTCAGGCTGGTTTCGAACTCCTGACCTCGAGCAATCTGCCCGCCTTGGCCTCCCAGAGTGCTAGGATTACAGGCGTGAGCCACCGCGCCCGGCCACACAAGGAGCTTTTTATTATAAAACAAAACAGGTCTCTCTCTGTGAGTGGAGAGAGACAGACTGACACACTGATTACTGACTAACTGACTTGTATGGTCAAGGAAAATCTCAGTGATAAGGAACCATTTGCGCCAAGGCTTCAGGAGACCCATGTGAATTAGCATGCAAAAACCAAAACAGTAATCATCACAGAAGACACTATGCTTTTGGTTGTCCATCAACATAAAGTTATTCCTTCCTTCTCTCTCTTCCTTGCCATAATGCAGCCATGTGATCAGGAGAAAGCTGGAACCAATCTCTAATCCTAGGGGTGGATCCCAATTAGTCTAAGCTGTTGGTGGCCACCCAACCTCACTTACCCAGACTGCTTCAGAAAGCCAAGTTTAAGCCAATCAACAGAGGGAATTGTCCTGGTCACTGTCTTTGGTCCAGGAGTAGGCACATAAGCTAAGCTGGCCTAAGCAGATTTATATTTGTTTGGAGCAGGAGGTTTTTTCCTGTGTCCATGATGAATGTGAACAAAGAAGAGTGTTGTCACAATTGCACAGGACGTGGTGGCACAGCCATCTCTGGGCAATGTGGAAGCCTGGAGACAGAGCCAATATAAAGAAGAGACCAGAGGTGGGAGCATTGCAGACACAAGTGGTCAGAGCCCTGATTATTCCATGCCTGGAGGCTGCTGCACTTCAAGACTCCCCATTCTGTGCCATGAAGGATCTCCTTACTGTTTATGCCAGTTCCAGTTTGGCTTTTTATTCCTTAGTGTTTAAAGGTTCTTGCTTATGACAATACAAATAATAGCAGCCAACTTTCCTTGAGAATTACCTTGTGCCATCCACATTCATTCTATTTGCAATTTTGTTTGATGTTCTTGACAATCTTATAAGGCAAATATACTATTGTCCTTATTTGTAAAGTGTAAGTGATTTTGCTCAAGGTCATGTGGGTAGTAAGTGGGAGAACCAATTTTTTTTCTTTTGTTCATTTGTTTGAGACACAGTCTTGCTCTGTCGCCCAGGCTGGAATTCAGTGACATCATCACAGCTCATTGTATCCTCCAACTCCCAGGTTCAAGTGATTCTCCTGCCTCAGCCTCCCAAGTAGCTGGGACTACAGGTGTGCACCACCATGCTGGGCTAAGTTTTCTATTTTTGTAGAAATGGGGTCTCATCATGTTGCTCAGGCTGGTATTAAACTCCTGGGGTCAAGTGATCCTCCTGCCTTAGCCTCCTAAGTCACTGGGATTACAGGCATGAGGCACCCTATCTGGCAGAGAAAAATCTTTCAGAGCTCAGAGCCTGTGCTCTTAACCACTATGATATTTCCACTGATAGATGAGGCAGAGGAAAAGAAGATGAAGGAGCTTGTAAAGAGGCCACAGGAAGAACAGGAGATGGTGATATTATTATTAATTTTATAATTATTAATATATAATCCTGTTCTTTCCACCTAGAATACCTCATCCCTGTGATACCTATTTCCCATGCCCACTTCTCTTCCTAGGAACTTATATTTGTTGTTTTGGAACTCAACTCAGATGTCACCTCCTCTGAGAAGCCTTCCCACATCCCATATCCCCAAACCTCCAATACTCTGGAATCCCACAAAAATTTGCTCAGATTTCTATTATAGCCCAAGTCATAAAGTGTTCATTTTCATACACTGTCCTTGTACAAAATTTAGAACTCCTCGAAGGCAAGGACTATGTCTCCTTATTCCTTGTGGTTCCAGTGCTTGGCTCAGCTCATTGTAGGTGCTCAGGGAAAGTGAGTTTCAATGATGCAATCATCACAACTCAAGGACCCTCTGTCTTATCAGGTACCATGCTAAGAGATGTAAAGTTAAAAATATCAGGCCTTTGGCCCCTTAAAGTTCATAAATAAATGAAGATGTGTTCCTCTCTTTCATTTCTACATTATAGAATCTCAACACAAACTAGCTTAAAAAGAAAAAAAGAAAGTGGGCACGGAGAGAATTAATTTGTCCTAGGCAGGTTAGTTCTATTAATAGTTTCACAAATAGCTGAATCTAAGATTGAAGGCTTTCCAGCAATGTTATCCTCCAGATTAGCTCTCTTTCTATAACCTGCTCTTGGGTGGCTTCAACCTCAGGATTTTTTTTTCCCATGTGAAAGCCCCCTCACAGCTCCATGTTAACATCCAATTGTAGCAAAAATAGAGATTTTTATGCCAATGGTCCTAACAAAAATCCTATAGTAATTCTCAATGCTTTTTTAGTGAGTCACGTGCCCTTCAATGAATCCATTATATTAACTGTGAATAGGCCTACATCACATGTCTACCTCTGAATTTGGAAGTGTGGTTTGCCATGGCCCATTTATAGGGTGGAGGATGAACACAGAACATAAAAGAACAACACAGACACACAAGGACAGTACATGACTTGAGTGCCCAATGCACTGGTCGCTTTATTTTTATACCCCACAGACTCAAGGTTAGTTTCTTGTACATGAGCATCTGGGCATAGCAGCAATATCAGTCAATTCTGGAGTTCACGGGGGACAATTTCCCATGGTCTCAGACCTCTAACGGTTACTTCAGGCACCAGACATAGCTCAAAAGCCAAGTCCAAGATAAGCAACGTTAAGCAATGCAGCCATCTGAAGAACTATTTGTTCTCTTTCCCAGCCTGCAGCCAGCCCCTGGGGTTGTGCATGTCTTAGGTTGCCCCTCCCGTGAGGAGTGTTACCTGTCACTGACTACCAACCATCACACGGGGGCCAAGCCTTGGGAATGTTCTTCTTATCCTTATGGCCTCCAGACTCCCACCACGGGGGCCCACCATGGGGGAGCTGGGCAACATTTGCTGACGTGCAGACACTCAGGCCTCTTGAGGCAGCTGTCTTGAGGCAGCAACTGTGTCTGAAGAAAATACTGGCTACCACTGCATCATGCAGCACACATACATTACAGGCTATGGTGAATGATTAGTATAAGGCATAACATCAGAATCATCCCCCAACAGTGGTTGACCCCATCTAAATCATATGGATTAAAAGTAAGGGAAGATTGTTCTCCAGAGTAAAATCAAGTTGCTGATTTTAAAAGGGAGAGAAGATATTAGACAAGCAAAAACCAACACATGGCCTCCATAGAGGAGTTGTCCTATACATCCTATACATCAGTAATGATATGGTAGACTAGGAGTGATGCCTGTCCTAAGTGCTTCTAGCCAAAGATTAGGTAGGAGAAATGGATCACTTCTGGGACAGCTGTCCACAAACACCTTGTAGGATGAAGCCTATGAACTAGGCCTTTTGGATATATAGGATTATGGTAAGTGAATATGAGGAGGCCTTTTAGATACATGGAAAGACATGAACAAAGACAGAGAGGTGAGGATCCTTTGGAGGTTTTGCAAGTTTGCTGGGAAATTTTGGTAATTAAGTCTGGAACTTTGGGATCTATACATAGTCTAACAAGTGCTCATCATTTTTGCAGGTTTCTTCCATATATGATCTCAAAAAAGAGTTATATTGGCAGATTAGAATTATTCTTCCCATGTTATGGATGGGGCAAGTGAGGCCTAGTGCAAGAGATGCCTGCT